TCTTATTTTCCCTTCTTGAGTGGGCAGATTAGTAGCAGAAATTTGGATAGAGTTCGTAAATTGAAGAGTGCAATGATGAGTTGATTGCTCGGGTACAAAAGGTAGGTGTATAACGTTGGTGGTGTTTGTGAAAAATTGCATTATAAAATGCTTTCGACATTTATGATTGCATCTTTGGTCTTTGGATATATATGTTCTGGGTAATGATGTATTTGAATGTAATCAATAAAGAATAGTATCTTTAGGTGCTTTATATTATAGTAGTTGGGAAAGATTCAGTGTCCTCTGATGTTGCACTTGCATTTGGCGAATTGTAGTGGATTCAGTCTTCTGTCTCAGAAAATGTTGACTGACAGTTTAGCATCTCCAACAATTTACTTGCATTTTCTGATAAAAGCATTTTCAATCAATTCATATACAGTGCATGGTTCTTTGCAAGAAAAATATGTAGCTAAGGATGTTACACATTCAGGGATTAATCAACATCCAGCACGGAAAAAATCTGCTATACAGAAAATAAGTCAGGTCTGCTTGGGGTTTAATTTTGCAGAAGAGACTTGAAAAATACCTACCTGATCTAACATTAATGAAAAATGATGTGCTTAACTGACCCCTTAAATTTTCTGCGAATTAGACAGGCAATGATATTCTCATCAATTTATTTTAGGTGAGAGATGAACTTGAACAGTTACTTGATGATGATGATGATATGGCTGACCTTTACCTATCAAGAAAGCTGGCTGGTGTGTCTTCACCAGTCAGTGGCTCCGGTGTTGTGAATTGGTTTCCTGCTTCCCCTACAATTGGTTCAAAAATTTCTAGAGCAAGTAGAGTAAGTTTGGCAACAGTTCTTGGAGACGAAAATGATGTTGAGGAGCTTGAAATGTTACTGGAGGTAGAGTTTCTAACTGTGTTTTACCTTCCTCACTCATTTTTATTTCTTATTTGAAATGGGACTAGAAATAAATTATTCTTGAAATTGGGCGATGATGTTCTTGCAGGCTTACTTCATGCAGATTGATAGTTTATTTACTTTTCCTCTTATTCTACACAAGGCACGCACATTATGGTAAGAATTACAAAGCAATCTCATCCTTTTAAATTGCATAAATTTGAAACATGCAGTTGCGAGAGTACATTGATGGCACAGGATTACATTAATATTCAGGCAGGCAACGTTGAATCGAACACAGAATTTTGTTTCCTTGTTTATGCGTTTTTCCCTGCGTTAAATTCACGCATCCTTTTTCTGCAGCTTGACAATCATCGAAATCAGCTGATTCAGGTGCTTTATGATTTTCTCTTGACGAATTGTGTTGGGGCCAATTCACTCACAAGCAAGCAAGCACGCGCACAGATTGTTTGTATGTTTTGATCTGTTATTCATGCTATGTCTTTCCACTGTTGGCCGCAGTTAGAGCTCTATCTGAGTTCTGGGACTGTTCGTTTAACCATATATTCCTTGGTGGCTGGAATATTTGGCGTGAACATCCTGTACACATGGAATGACAATCATGGTTTCATGTTTGAACGGGTAAGCAAAATACTTTTACTGGGGAATTTAGCTCCTGATTATAAATTGCTTTTATACGGGGAATCATGTGTTTTTTTTTTTACATTGCCAGGTGGTAATTGTCACAGGAGCATTCTGTGCATCTCTGTTCCTAGTTCTAAACAACTTAGTATTTCTTGTCCCAATTTGTTTGTCCATTTTCTATTTTCTATTGTCTCGGAATGTTTGTTTATTTTGCCATCATATTCTTTATTAGATTATTTATATAGCGTTTTTTCAATTTTCGTGAAAGGTCAAAGAGAGCAAACAGAAGGGAAGGGTACAAAAATTCTTTAGATTTTTTAATGCCTTTAAAAAGCCAGAGATCATAAATAAATTGAGATGGAGGGCCCTGTATTTTATTCCACAAAAAAAAAAAAAACTTTTCTCTTCAATCTTTGACATCTTATCTACTTGTTGTTTGCTTTTCTTGTTCTAATTCTTAAAACAAAGAAACAAAATACATTGAAAAAAATATAAAACGGATAAAAAAAATTAAGTTATTGGGTTTAAAATACAAGAATTAAATATATAATCTGTGAAATCATGAAGATTAATTAATTAGTTTTGTTAAATCACTAAGAACAATTAACTCCTTGTCTTTTTGTCTCTTACACGCTCGACCGAGCAAGATTAGCTCTCTAGTTCACAAGAGTAACGCACCTCTCACGAGACATACACGTGCCCAAAACTCATACTCTCTGGCCTATACACATTGCGCCGCCGCCGCCGCAGCTCCAGCAGTGTGCAACCAAATGGTGAAACAAGAAGCACGACAAACACGAGCACACCATCCAATTCTTGAGGAAAATAATACGTCGCTCTTGTTTCAAAACTATTGATTAATCCTTTCGTTGTCCCCCAAAAATATTTTTAGAGTGCTGTTTTATGAGACAACTACAACAGACAGAAGGGAATAAATGATAAGAAAAAAAATAAAAAAATGATAAAAAAAATGAGAATATTCCTATTTAATCTCAAAAATATTTTTTAAATTTCTTTATTATCGTTTCTTTATTTTTCCTTGTGAATAATTATTGGTAATTAATTTTTTTATTAACAAGAATATTCGAGTAAATTTATGCATATCTCAGCTAATCACATAAATTTTAAAATTAACAATTATATAAATTTTCAATAACCTTAAAGTTTGTAGTAATCACGGTAATTAATTTTTTTATTAACAAGAATATCCGAGTAAATTTATGCATATCTCAGCTAATCACATAAATTTTAAAATTAACAATTATATAAATTTTCAATAATCTTAAAGTTTGTAGTATTCAAATTAATGATCTCTAAAAAACAAATCTAAAATCTGACCAATTAAATTACATTCTAAATGAACAAACTCAAGTTCTCCTATAAATTTATTAAATAAATATTATTAATCATTTAAATTACATATCACACTATTTAGTCATTTTATCAATTTTTTTCTTAAAAACAAATTACTATGATTATAAAACAAGGAAGATTTGTTTCATTTAGAGGGAGGAGAGAGAAACATTTTTTTTTTATTATAAATTAGATGGTAACTATAATTTTTTTATTGAAGTGTTAAATTAAAAAAATCAATTTAACAAAACAATAAAAACCCTAAAAGAATAAAGAACAAATTATATATATATATATATATATATATCACAAATTGAGATTGAATAATGAAATTTACAACAAATATTTTTTTTATAAAAGAGTCAAGAATAACAATTAAAAATAAAAAAATAAAAATTAAAGTTGAAATATTAATAATTAAAAGATAACTCTGAAATTTTAAATAATCAACATAAATTTTGAAGAAATAATAGAGAGAAAAAAAAAAATCTTGCGTAAAATAAACTGTCTCACTTCCACCATGCTCCACCCTGTTAGAAAAACAATCTCATGAAATAAAAATTAAAGTTGAAATATTAATAATTAAAAGATAACTATGAAATTTTAAATAATCAACATAAATTTTGAAGAAATAATAGAAAGAAAAAAAAAATCTTGCCTAAAATAAACTGTCTCGCTTCCACCATGCTCCACCCTATTAGAAAAACAATCTCATACCACCATGCTCCACCCTGTTAGAAAAACAATCTCATGATAATTTCAATAACATAATATAAAATAATTTTTTATTAATAAAAAACATTGCACGCGTTGTTAAAAGAGACTATTAGCACCTTTCATATGCTATTTATTTTTTTATTTTAATAATATTTTTCATTTTTCCTCTATCAACTTGAAAATATATAAATTTTTTTTATAATAAATAGATAAAAATAATTTGGCTCGACTTTTAAAAAATTGCTTTTAAGCTTAATTGAGTGATTTGATATACTAAAAAATATATTCTAAATGTTAATTTTAAAAATTTTGATTTTGAGTAATTTCATTGCATTAAAAAAATCTGGTAATCACCACTTGATGATACAAAAAGATGGAAACACCCCCAAAATTAACCAAGGCAATTGTCTTTTTTTTCTTAAGAACAAAAAAGTAATTACCACTAATTCTCGATCATAGTTCCTTAATCTAAACTATACACTCTAAACAATTATCTCTAACTGGTTATTCTTTTTCGCTGTCATCAAAGTGTTTTTGACAAGATCATTGTACAGATATTAATATTGTAAGAAATAAACTTGTTTGTTTACAAATAACCAGCCATATATATATATATATATATATATATATATATATATATAAAGTTAGACAACTCCACACAAATCGAAAGGACATTGCTAAACAACGGCATTGAAATGAGGTTATGATAATCATACAATTCTATGTTTGTAGAGACATCGACGTTGATAGAACGTGAAATTAATTAACAAGAGGTTAAATATCCATCATTAATTAGTTATAAAATTATTTAAATAATTCCAGTATCCATCATTAATTAATAAATTATTTAAATATCCGAAAATAAATGAAAGGTTTCAGCATTACTTGCCCATTAATGACCGTCTATTTTAGCATAAAACATCAAGTTTTCTTCTGGAAAAAGTTTAATATTTAAACAGAATCCATTAACAAATCGAGACATGAGTGCTCCAAGCCTGGATATATAAGGTAAGTAACTCAATTAGGGATTTTTAAAGATTTAATTAATTAGGATAAATAATGTTTGGAAACTCAATCTAAATTTCCTATATAATGAAGGACTTGTTCAAGGTTTCTCCGAAAAAGTTTAGTCACTTCGTCTCGGGAAAAAAACATAAAAACAGGCATGGTTAACGTAAGTAGTGAATTAAAGTTTTTTTTTATATAAAAAAAATGTTTTGAAATATTTTTATTTGTTTATTTTTTAAAATCTAATTTGATTTAAAAATATAAAATAAAAATTAATTTAAAACTAAAAAAATTTCAAAATTTCAAAAGTATAAATCGACAGCAATGCTTAAACAATATTGTCTTAGTTTTGTCATGTAGGAGGAGGCTGTGCGATTGTATTCGAAAACATTGAGAGCCTCGAACAAAGGCCATTACCAGTGTCCAAATCGAACAAGACCAGCCCTCTCTTCTAATACTCCAAGATTTCACTCTCTCCATTTTTTTGTTTTTATTAATAATATCGCTCTCTTAAATTCCTTTTTCTCGCCCACCAAGCACAAAGCCACTGCCAAAAGAATTTGTCTAGAATCGTTAATCACCAACCCAGCCCAACCACCACCCTTTCTTCGCCGATTCTTGCTTGTGATTGTCGTGGTTTTTTCTTGGAAAAGAATAAATAACTCTCGTGATTTGTGGGGTCTTGATTACATGCACCGTGTGGGGTACGTGAAACAAGGGAGAGTGTTAGTGGCTTAGTGAGAACCCAAAGGCAGGTGGTGGTGTTAGCGAAGATGGTGTTAGGCCAGGTGGTGAAGGTTCAAAGACAGGAAATAGAGGCATGCATGACCTGTTATCTTTGCAACAAGCTCTTCAGAGACGCCACTACTATCTCTGAGTGCCTCCATACTTGTGAGTCTCTCTCTCTCACTCACTTCTGTGTGTGCTTATCTTCTTCTATTGTGTGTTATTCGATGTGGTTTCTTTGTTTTGTTTTAGTTCTTGTTGTGGGCGCTTAATTGTTAGTTCACGTAATCTGTGTATCATCTTTTATTGTTTGGAGTTAAGCTTGGTTTATTGCTTTAATTGGTTATTTTTGTGATACGGAGAGGAGTGATCGAATGCGGTTTTATGATCTTGTTTTTTCTTCATTTTGTTTTCTTGGTCTATCTTTGCTCAATGGATTGGGAGTTTGATTTTGAAATTAAGGAAAATATTGAAATTTGATTGGTAAATATAGCCTTTTCTTTTGTGTTTGAGCAACGTATGATGTGAGCTTACAGTAAATTTGTTTGCTGAAATGGTAAAATTTTAACATGGGTTTGTTCGAAGCTTTTGCATGGTCGCTGTGCTCTTCAAGTCCATCAAAATCGTCATGTCCTCGATTAGTTCATGCCGTGTCAAGTGAGAACAGTACTGTGTTTGGGGGATGATGAATAAAGGTTTTGCATTTGTATTTTCCTTCAGAAATAGTTTCTTAGTGTTCTATCTTTTAATCAGTCTGTTTTAAGTGTGTCTTGCCTGAATGTTATATACATATTCTCTCACCGAGCATATATCTGATGCCTGCTTCATTTTAATTTTCGAAACAGTTTGCAGAAAATGCATATACAAGAAGATAACTGATGAGGAGTTGGACAGTTGTCCAGTTTGTGATACTGAATTAGGTTGTTCTCCGCTCGAGAAGCTCAGGTATTTGATCATCTTGCCAAGTTTATGCCACAGCAATTTTTAATAAAGCATCTTTGGTGCATGCCGTGGCAAAACAATACATAGCTGTTTCTGATATAGTTGGACTATCGTATTACACATATGGAGGACGTATTCGAATGCTGTTTTAGTAGTCTCCATGCAGTGCAAGTGAAATTATCTTAGGGTGCCAAAATGATTGACAAAGGAGGACGCTATTTAATCACTGAAATGATTTTCTAGACATTCTCTGTCTTTTCCAACTGCAGAACCAATCCTTGACACTACTAATTAATGCATTTGGAAGGAAGACATCAAATTTCCAAGTCAATTTATTAGACATTTACACCAAACAGTAAGTACATGCTGCAAACTGTAGACATGCAATGTGACACTAGGAAATCAATTATCATGCTGCATGTTCCTGGGCAGCATCCCTGCCCTGCCACACATGTAGGATGCATAATTCATTTATTAGGATTCTCTGATATAGAATCTTGAAATATTATGATTGAACCTGTGCCTCAACCTGTTTATACGGCACAGAACAATTAGAAGTCCAATTTCAACTTGGAAGACAACCAAAATTGAGAAACTGGTCATGGATTTCACTACAGCAGCATAGTCTTGGTCTGTTTTAACTTTCATTCTTTATGTTAATAAACAGGGCAGACCACAGCTGGCAAGATTTAAGGGCCAAAATCTTCCTTTCCAATAGAAAGAAGGCCAAGGAACCTGAAACAGTGTCCTTGGTCCCAGAAGGCGTGCCCTCGGTCCCAGAAACTGCGCCAGCAGTCCCAGAAGCCATGCCAATCCAAGAAGCTGATCGCCCAGTTCCATTGATAGGTAGAAGAAAGGAGAGATCTCTCTCTTCATTGGTAGTCAGCACACCTAAGATATCCGTCAAGTCTTTTCTGACGGGAAAAAGATCAAAACCTATTGCCAGAAAACGAGAATCTCCTGTTCTCATTAAGGAGCTGGTTAAGAAAGTGGACGGTTACTATGAGAGCTTAAGCTCGCCCGAGACTTTAAGCAAAATTGCACAAAATAAAAGGCAGGTAGAAATGGTTAAACTTCAAGATTTCTTGCTAAAACTTTTCTCACCTTTTTGTTTTGGGTCCTTTGCAAATGACGTGCCTTTCCTTTGATGCGTCGTAATTTCCTGTGTAATTATTTTCATGGTGTAGAATTCTTCTACTGCCGAGTCACCCAAACAACACAAGCCTAATAAAGTTGCAGAGGATGGTGTTAAACCATGTAAAGGGAAAGCTGATTTTTGGAAACCCTTAAATTGCTCGGTTGAAGCTTCAAGCAAAACAAAGTCTAATAAGTCAGAACTACAGGAAATTCTTGTCCAAATAAAGAAGCTTGATGCCCAGGAGAAAGCTCAATCACTCAAAACCAGTGTTAAGGAGCACGGTGATAAATCGAAAGTTAATGGTGAAGAATCTAACTTGACTGCATCGCCTTCAGTTTCCGTGAAACCTAGACGGCTGCAAGGCATGCAACAAAAAAGAGCAGCTCCCTCTGAGGGGTTGAATATTCCAGCACAGACTATTGTCGATGCAAACAGTAAATGTGATACAAGATTTAGTCCCATTTGGTTCTCATTAGTTGCTTCTGATCATGAGCAGTGAGATTTTGTTTCTTAACCATTACTAAAGATTCAATGATGATTGGCCAAGCAAGCCATGTCATGTTGTTAAATATTGTTTCTTTTTGGCATAATTTCAGGGGTGGAAGTGCGCCCTTGCCACAGATATCTTCGTGCTACTTGAGGGTTAAGTGAGTTTCATTAACCCCGCTGCCTTGTTTATATTCATAATGTTGGTTTGCTTGTCAGTGTCCATTTTGCTCTTGAGTTTTGACATAGGCTCCGGTTAAACCATGTGTTTTATCGCCACCTTTCTTCAGTTTTGTAAAAAACATTCCGTGGTTTTCATTTATGTGAAATTGTAATTGCATCTATGCTAAGTTTTGTAGATATATTTTCTTAGCGACAATGACACTGTATCTTATCTGATGTTTTCTATGCGCACTTTGATTTTCCTTCTATTTGTTTTGGTTACATAGAATTTCCCGTTGCTTATGTTGTAAGCTTGATATCCTTTTGTTTCATCATAATAGCATGATGTCCATTTCCATTTACAATTTATGGCTTCGATGAATATGTACTTCCAGGTACACTCCAGAAAAACAAAACTAATCACAGCCTAGAAGTAAATTATATTTATGACTCCTGTGCTCTTTCGTAGCTATTCCCCAATTTCTTCGACTCTACATAACTATGAAATTCTGTGAAGAAAATAGATTGAGAAAATGATGTTGAAAGTCCAGGAGCAAACACTCTTTTCGAATATCAGCAACACCTGAAACCATGTTTTTTAAATTTTGAATAGGGAGTTTTGCTTCATTGCTTTAATGGGCAGTTGCAACTACGATTTTGTCTGTGAGGTTTTGCATGCTTAGTTATGTTTAAGTTTGTGATTGCACACTGGCGGTCACAATCAAAATAGGGGCACATAGCATAAAAAACATATTGGTGTTGTCCTGTGAAAATGAAGCCAATCATCATATAATCGTGAAGTATTTTAATTGATTACATGAACTCTGCATATCATACCTGATGTTGAATTTCTTTTTCTAGGCCATAATTTCATTTAGAATCTTAATAATGATTATTCTGAAGTATCAGTGACTTTAAAGTAGTAGATTTGCTTCAAAAATTCTGCTTCTGTTCTGTTCCATTGAAAAAATAGAACTCAACTGTCTGATTTCATGTCATCTGTGAATGTTAATATATAGAGCATATTTTAGTCTCTATCTTTTCCCTTCCTGTGGTTATTTTTGTTTATATTCTGTTCTCACCTGAAGTTTGCTTTATACCAAGAACCCTTTTCTTTTTTTCTTTTTCTTTTTTAACAAATATACCAACAACTATTTTGTTGATCAGTTGTTGCAATTTTATTGTAGGGATGGTAATTTGCCAGTTTCATACATAAAGAAGTATCTTGCCCAGAAGCTGGGTCTTGTTAGGGAAGCTGAGGTAACTTCATATTTGTTCGTTTATCATGTTAATCAATTTGTGCATATAAAACTAAATAATCTTATTTCTTTCAATCCCTCTTCTTTTCCTATTGTAAATGGAAGTGGACAGCATTTCTTTTTCTTCATTCGTAGATTTCATTCCTTTGAACTTGAATGTCCAAATTACTTTCTGTGGTTCCTATATTTCATCTTCCATGATGTATGACAGGAAAAAGGCTTGCTACTCTCTTTGTTTTTGATACTGTCCTTTAACAAGACCTGCAACAGTTTTTGTTATGATGGAACTGTTTACCACCAACCATCCATCCTTGTAAAAAATAAATGCCGGTGAAGTGTACTCCTAAATTATCTGAAGACTACTGCCTAGGGAATTAAGGAAATTTTAAAACACCACGAGTAACGCTCAAGTTTCCCCAGGTGGAGATTTCAATGCGTGGTCAGCCAGTGGTTTCAACGATGCAGCTGCATAACTTGGTAGACTGGTGGTTGCAGACAGCTTCAGCATCTGAAAGAATACGGACAACTGTGGGCGGTTCAGCTAAAGATTTTGTGATGGTTCTCTCGTATGGTCGCAAAGCTCATCCTCCGTAAACATCTTCGCTTCAGCGGCGAAATGCCATCTCTTGCAACAGTGATCTTGGTCAAGGTGGTCGGAAACAAACAGCGTGTTTTGCATCATCGTGAATGCACAGCCGATGAATTTGCTAAAACCACTCTGCTTTCTCTCCTTTTCAACTTTTCTTGTAAGGATAGTAGACATAGTAGAAACTATACAAAAGTTGTAGACGAATATGGATTGTTTATTTTATTATTAGCAGATTTGGGGATTCTGGACTAATGCCTGAATCCATGGATTAAATTTAAAACAGTTCAATGAGGATTCATGCTACTAGCCGAAGCCAAAGCCAGGTTGGGCATGACCTTAGAAACATCTGGTTGTGCTGGGCTAGAATGGTCAATTGGCGACCATTTTACATAGAGTAAATTAGGTTCATGCTGAAGAGCGAGGAAAAAAAACACATAAGAAATCCCTGTCTAAGATAAGAGCAACTTTGATGTGCAATTGGCATATACTCCTTCCGCCTTTTCCCCTATTTATCCCTCTTGTTCGGTTCATGACAAAGAAGCATACAGACATTGTTATTCTTGACATCAAGATTTCAGACCTCGAATTGGAAAAGAAGGTTTGTGTGATAATTTCAAAATTCAAAGCCAGCAACATTCTGCCTCTTCACCACAAAAAAAAGACAACGATACTCAATTGTAGATTCTAGCTTATCCAAAGCCAAGGAATCAAGGCACGTAAATCATCAATATAGGGGCTGTTAAAAAGAGAAGAAGCCGTTACTGTTTACTATGCAGGATGTTGATTTTACGTCCTCTGATATCTGAAAAAAATTGTAAATATTCAGGTTCTGGCTAAAAGCAAATCTCAAGAGAACAATTGCAACCTCTCAGTATCTGCAGCAGCTGCTTAAAAGGAAGCCGGTAAACAAGATGCAAAGCAGATATATTTGAGATTTACTTTTAGCCATAAATCAAGGAAATGAATAAATAAAATTCATGTATAGCAGGGATCATCTTGGTCCCAGATTTCAAGTCGAAGCATGATCTCGGTTCCATGTCCTACAATAACAGATAACATCATCATTAACTTGACCTTGACGTCCTAAGTTTTCAGGCTTGCTCCTGTGCTTTGATACAGGTATGAAGCAACAGAGAAACATCAATCAACAAAGATCATGCCCACGGGATGGGATAGAGAGAAGGTTCCTGCTAATCTCCACATAATGCAAAGACTAAGCCATGGCAACTCAACACAGCAGCATCACCAACACAAGTAGCGAAAACAAAAAAACTGCATCAAAATCCATTTGACATGGGTAAAAAAATGTGAGTGATTACCTAAAAGTAAATGTGAAGTACAATTTTTGATTAAAGTCGTCCGTAGTATCCCCAAGCACTGTAATTTAGACACGGACCAAAAGAAGCATAATAAGTTGATAACTGGGTATGTAAGTCATTCTAAGCAAGAATTAAATCATCAAATCACCATAACAGAGAAGCATGCAATGCCATAATTACAGTCAAGATGACATTAATTAAGCTAAAACCAAACAATTCCCGCTAAAACCAAACAATTCCCTTTTCTTTTCTTTTCAATCCAATTAGGCAAAACTACAAGCCACCAGTTGGAGGAGCATTGTAGTCACCATCATCATCAGAGAGCAAGTTGGCATACGGCGAGGTTTCAATATCGTCAGCAACAAGATCATCCGTACTCCTCAACGTAGCATGCAGAAGCATCAAAACGACAGCGATCCCACCACCAACGACAACATTCTGAAAAACCCCACCCCACATCACAACCAAAAAGTCAACCACAAAGAGCACAACCAACACCATCCAGTCACTCACTTGATAGCCCAAAAACCAAAGCGGCTCCTCGCGAGAGAAATAGAGAGAGAGCCAGGCAATTAGAGTAATGAACAAGGCGATTAGCACCAGAGGATGGATTAAGAGGGATAAAGAGAGGATTATCAAGAGGATTATGGAGTAATTAACCGAGAAATGAAGGACGTTTTGGGTTATCCTTGTGGTGGTGTCGTGGATTGAAGAGGGGAGGTTCAGTAAGGTGAGGTCTAGGAAAACGGACCATGGGCGTCGACCTGATGTTAAAGGTTTTGTGGTTTCTTTGAAGAAGCTAGACACGAATTGGGACATTGTTGCTCTGCTGCTGTTGAAGTTTTTTGAATTGTATTCAAAAATCAGAGGAGTTTCCTTTGAGTGGGAGGAGGAGAAATCAGAGTGCGGAAAGGAGGCTTCTTGTTTTGTTTTGCCTTTCAAGGCAGGCAGGCAAGAGCAACACCTTCTTTAACTAGGTAGACGATGACTTTGACTGACTCTCTTCTTGTAATATTGTGGGCTTCGTGTACAGACTAAAATTGACGCGAGGCCCAACCCATCCCAGCCCATGTTCTAGGAAAAGAGACTAGATAACAGCACGAGTTTGGCAGGTCTTCCAGGCTTCATCGTCTTCAGTGTCTCGTTTCCTGACCCAAAATTAACAGCTTAAGCTTGAAGAGAGCATCTTTCTCTGGGAACAGAATCCCTTTTAAGTGATGAGAGAGAACATGAGATTCAATATCGCTTCATTATTTTCTCGCACTGTTTTCTTTCATCAACCTAGCTAGTGTGTGTGAGCTAGCTTGTTTGCTTAAGGAAATTAAGTACATGGAAAGCTGCCTTCCCATGAATCAATCTTCACAAACACACAGGCAGTTCCAACACCTGGGAATGAAGTTGGATTCCCAAAACTAAGTGAAGTTGTAAGTTTCAACCATTCTGCTGGTGGCATTGCCAGGTATGGTAGCCAGATAGGCGTTACAGAGACATGGAACCTGACCTTTACCGAGCTGCCATGGATGGAAAGGCTGGTCTACTCCGGAAAATGCCAGACCAATTCGACATTCAAGCTACGCAACCAAGAATAAGTTCCTCCACACTGCATGCAGTTTGGTATGTTAGAATGAGTGGAGATAATCCTTGACTCGAGTTCGTTGCTTTTGCATCAGGTGAATGTGCAAGGCGAAACAGCTCTTCACATAGCAGCCAAGAGAGGACATTCTAATGCTGTTCGGGTTCTGATAGAGAGAATGAAAACGACTTACCATGATGTGGAAATGGGAATGGGAGCTGCCAGATCATCGATGAAGATGGCAAATAACAAGCATGGCACTGCTTGCATGAAGCTGCACGAACAATCAACTTGATGTGGTAATGTTGCTGGCTGAAGAAGACCCTGAGTTCCAACATTCTGCATAATGTATTCATCAAGTAGAACCAGTGGAGCTAAACAGCATAATGTACTCATTAAATCCATGACGTGATATCGATCCACCAGATATCATTAGATCGAAAACCAACACTTCGATCAATCTCGCTCTTCTCCCACCATCTTCTGTCATCATGTGAATTTCAAGAAATTCGATTCTCTTCTTCAGAACAACCATCGCTTTTATCAATCACTAACAGATCACCTTTCTAATTTCGTAGCATTGTTTCTTTTAATTTCTTGTTATTTAGCACCCCACTTTCTTTGGAAGTCGAAGCAAGATCATACGATTCTCATCTTCAAGCACCTCTCCTTTATTCTTGGGCCCTCCACTTTGGTAGTAGAGCATGAAGTTGACTCCCTCTTTGTTTTTGCCCAAATGGTTTTGATGTTTTGAGCGTTTCTTCTAGCAGGAAAAAGAAATATATATAAAAAAAATAACATGAACACGGCACGCAGTAAATTTAAGGGCCTTCGTATGACAATCTCAAACAAACACAATCACTCTACCAAAACCTGCACATATACGATGCAGCACATTAGCAGAAACTGTTCAGGCAAAATGCTAGATTCAATTTGCAGGTAATAGATAAACTAGTATATTCTGAACTTGGAAACGATAGCTTCACACACCTGAGAACAAACAGAGCAATTGAGCTGCAGACATGGAGGGGGGGGGGGAATTATTGCATTTAAGAATTTTTTAACACTAGAGAGCTAGTATAGCTGCCTTCAATCCAGAACCTGAAATCATCTCAAACTAATTAATGTGTCATTTTATGCTTTCTCTCAGCCGTGAGGGTTCAGAAGCTAAAATGCTTCAAATGACGTGCTAATTTTTTGCATTGATAAAGTCCAACATGCAAAGAAATCTGCAATTAATTGATAGTGATTATGGAAAGATTTAATTAGTTTAACTGCAATACGATATGGATGGCATCACTAGCATGGTAATAAGTAAAATACTCGAGAGGATTATCCATGAGGTAAATCATAAAGGCTGTCTTCCTCTGTGACATCATCAATGATTCATTTGAAAAGAACACGACTGATATGTTTTGCAAAGGCTATTCCAAGCGCGTGATTTCAGTATTAATTTCTATCACAGTACCATGCCGATGACTTCCTATCTGTAAAGAGTGCTTCGTATGATATATGAAAGAGCTGCGAGAGCAATTATACATGTCTACTTAAATTCAGATTGCAGCATCTGGGGAAAGTAGTAACAACAACCTAACCAAAGATAGGAAGTGCGGGTGGATTCTAAACTGATTCAGATGGAGGAAAATGTATGCTCCATTCGTGGTGAAACAAGCAAAGCAGACCAAACTCATGTTTTTACATGCGTCGACTCTGAACTATATAAGGCGGCTGCAGAGGTGAAACTGAAACCTTTCTGGAATGTACAAATCAACTCCAATGCCTGGTGACCCCAAACAGAAACACAATTCTCCATATTTACATCACAGCCTTATCTAAGAAGATAAATGAACCAATCAATAGAGTCCCCGAGATCAGTAAAGCATGGTTTTCATCAGTACCACAAAAGCTGCAATATCCCTCCCCCATCTGCCAAAACAAAGTCATCCCAATTTCTCATGGTTGTTCTTGACAAGTGTCCGTCCCTGTTATTGCAGACAAATTCCAACGGCGAAACTCCTTAGCACATTGCAGCTAGATATGGGCACCATGCAATAGTAGAATTCCTTGTTGCAAGTGCAAAAGGTAGTCGAAGACTTGAAAGGAGTACGGAGAAGCATGACAGATGCTAAGAATGACTACCAGAACGACACAGCCCTGCACAGGGCAGAGCGGCATGATCATATTGCAGTGGTGAGCAAATCGACCAAAGATGACCCAGATTTTGTGTATGCTGCAAATGATGCTGGTGAGACTCCACTCTACATGGCTTTAGAGAGGGGATTCAAAAACATGGTGGCTCAAATATTAGGAACTTGCACAGCAGCCACTTATGAGTGCCCTAATGGCAGAACAGCTTTGCATGCAGCAGTGTATTACAATGATTAAGGTGGAGTATTTTTCCGTTGTCTTTGGCTAATTAATAGGGGCATTATTTTGTAAAATAAATCCAGAAGAAGCTGTTGTACGTACAATCAAGATTATATTGTGACACTTGTTTAAGATAAAAGCACATTAATATCATATGTTTTTTGTAGAATTCAAAAGAGTACTTGGAATAGGTAATCATGCTTGTCGAAATTCCCTAAATAATGCATGCATAAAAGGGTAAATGAATCCATATATAACTTTCAGAAGTGAAGGTATATACCATTCCTTTTCTTATTATGCCTTTATCTATCCATTCGTTGTTTTCTTTTTCAATTTTGCTGTAGAAATGACAGGGATAATTCTAGAGAAAAAAACTAGATTTGACCAAACAAGCAGACGGCTTCCCCTTCATTATACTGCACACTTGGATTATATTTCAATTTTGAAATTGTTTGTAGAATGCGATAAATTTGCTGCTTACATCGGTGACAAGAAGGGAAAAGGACAGCTCTTCACACTACAGCAGGCCGAGGCCATGTACTAGTGATGAGAGAGCTCATATCACGCTGCCCGGATTGTTGTGAGCTGGTTGACCTGAAAAGTTCGAATGTCCTTCACTTTGCCGTGGAGAGCCGGAGGCAGAGGAGTATCTCCATAAAAATCTATGGCTCGGCACCCTTTTAAATCAGAAGGATACTAGGGGAACACACCTCTCCATTGCCTTGCTGCATCCCTGTGAGAAGATACAACCTTGTTAGAGAACAGTAGGGTGGATAAAATGGCAATCAAGAAGGAAAATGTGAACGTCCAGGATATTGTTGGAGCAAATGATAGTAATTTACTAAATGCCTAGGTAAGCCTGCGTAACTTACGGGGACATTTCAACAACAAGAGTACTGGACTACAATTGTTTTTCAATTTCTTTTGCTGCGCTTAAAGTTATTCATATGCTGTCTGCAGATAGGGATTATTCAACAGGGCCGGTCTTGGATCAAGTTTGCAAAAGGTTATCAACCTGGAATTGGATGGACATGCTGAGAAGGAAGAGGAAACCATCAATACCAATAGATGAAGGACATTACAGCAAGAAGGATGGTGACAAGAAAGTAAATGATGAAATTGATGACAGATACTCAGAAAACAAGAGATACTAATTTGATAGTAGCCACGCTCATATCAACCGCGAAGTTTTCTGCAGCTTTCACGTTATCTAGGGGTTACAGAGGCGACAAAGGCCCAAATCCAGGTTCCGCAATCCTAACAAGAAAGACAGCTTTCCAGGCATTTGTTATAGCGGGCACCATAGCCATGGTTCTCCCGGGTTCTGCTGTATTTTTGCATCTTTCTTTGACAGTGATGGAAGATCCCACACGAGGTATCTGGAAGATTGCTTTCGCGGCTGCTCTCACCTTTTTTGCCATAAGAAGAACGGAGGAAGAAATTTTTTCTATCCTCAGCTATTAAATAAATATATAAATATTTTTTACGAACAGCAAAATTTTAATTTAAATATATTATCTAAAATATTAAAAAATAAATTTAAAAATATATAAAATAAAAATAAAAATAAACTTACTATTAAAATTATATTCTTTCATATTTTATAAAATATAATTTATCTATAATCGAATCTGAATGAATATTGTAATAACCCTTTAACCAGGATAAAATAACAATTTTATATTAATTAAAAAATAAAATAATTAATTTTTTTTTCAATTCCTTCTTTTTTCACTTGATTTTTTCTTGGATTGGTGTTTTATAAATTGGAATTTATAAATTTACAAAATTATTCTCTCACTTTTTTGTGTTTTATAAGTTGGACTTTATAAATTTATAAAATTATTCTCTCACTTTTTTTATTTTTTTATATTTTTCCTTTACTTTTCTCTATTTCGATCTAACCATTTATTTTTTTTATTTTACTTTTGCCTAATCGGCAACATATAAAAAGAAGGAAGAGCTTATTTATTTTTTTAATGGTAAATAACTATTTTACTATACTTTTCTCTATTTCGATCTAACCATTTATTCTTTTTTATTTTACTTTTGCCTAGTTGGCAACATATAAAAAGAAAGAAGAGCTTATTTATTTTTTTTAATGGTAAATAATTATTTTATTATAAATGAGTCGTTTTTTTTTATTTGACGGTTTTTTTTTTCTATTAGCACTATCAAGCTCTGTTTATTCTAAAATTTTAATTATATTTTATTTAATATATTTTAAAATTTTTCATAAAATTTGATTGAAAATTACACCCAATAACATAAAATTTTAATTATATTTTATTTAATATATGTTAAAAATTTTCATAAAATTTCAGTTTAATCTATTTGATTGAAAATTACACCCAATAACATACATAAAACTGGTCAAATTATGATTTTTCATTAAATTTTTGAATTTCTTAAAAAATTCTAAAATTTTAACCCAAATTAAAATATCATATTAAAAGATTTCATATAAATTTTTAAAAAATTTTAATAACTCAATCAAAAATTAAAAATTATTTTTATATAAAACTAATTAAAAATATTGATAAAATCTTTATCTACACTGCAACCCACCCCAACCTTCAGCATACCTCCGCCCATGGCCATAAGCGCTATGATGGTTGCATTTCACCATATAATAAAAAGACAACCGCATGTGCACCGTCACCCTGTTTGTTTGATTTTTTTTATTTTAAATTAATTTTTTATACACAATTTTAGATTGTTAGGATATATTAATATTAAAAATAAATTTTAAAAATAAAAAAATATTATTTTAATATATTTACATAAAAAAATATTTAAAAAAATAATATAACCAAAAAATTCTAAAAATAAAAAAGATTAATTTGGCATGACTCAGGTGTGAATAAAAAACTTAAAAACTGATTAAACTGAAAAAATCACAAAATAAATAATTAAAAAAGCCAAACCATAAAAAAATTGATTAATCGAATTAGAATTTTAAAAAATCAACCTGTTCGGTTCAATTTTAATTTTATAAACTTAAAACAAAAAACACCAAACTGAGCCAAACCTAAAAAAACCGAATTAAACCTATTTGAACCAATTTTTTCCCTGAAATAACCTAACTAATTGAATAGGTTTTGATTTTGGTTTTTTTCAAAAAAAACTGGTTTAATTTTTTTAATAAAACCTAGACCAAATAAAAATTAATTATCTCTACTATGACTTCTAGAAATTAAATTTATAAAAATCATACACAATAAAATTACTAAATAATATTCGCGATAGAGCTCTCCACATCGTTTAATTAAGATTTTAAAAAATGCTTTGTAGCATAATTAGCCATCTCTTTTTTATAGGCTCTCATAGAAAAAGATATTTTCACCCAAAGTAATGCCTTTATAAAATAAAAATTATCTTCGTAGTATTCCCGAAAACAATCCATTTATCATTCAAGTCAAACCTTATTTTAGAGCCTTGCCTCTACTGTTTACCCCAAGAAAAATTAATAGATTTTGGTGGAACTTTGAAGGTGGCACTACTATGAGGAGATTAATGGGAAAACAAAAGATTAAGGAGTTGGCTGTGAAATCCATTAAACTTGAGGGAGCAAAAGTTTAAGGAGTTGGTTGTGAAATCACTTAAAATTGAGGGATTAGTTTGAATAAACCCACAAACTATTGCTTCACCTCCCTTAAACCCTAGTGTCAGCGTAGCATCCCTGTAACCCTCCCCCTTCTCTTACTCTAACAGCTCCCAGGAAAGAACATAAAGTAGTTATTTAGACCTCTTTCACCATTTCCCACAAGAAAAATGGGGTACCATATCGCTTTTTCTAAACCATTTCAGTTAAAACCGAGGGTTTGTCAAATCTCACTCACACCCTACCTCCATTACTGCACTTCAATTCCAGCTCCAGGTGAAGATCCTATCTCCCCTAACCCAGAAACAACCGCATCTCCAGGCCCGAAACCTGACCCAATCACCGAAACCCCAAATGTGGCTCAAGAGAAACAATACCAGCGAATCCCGAGAGCTAAGCAGCAGCATCGAAGCCCTGAAAAACTAGAAGATATAATTTGTAGAATGATGGCTAATCGGGACTGGACGACCCGGTTGCAGAATTCGATTCGAGCTCTAGTGCCCGAATTCGATCATTCTTTAGTTTATAATGTTTTGCACGGAGCTCGAAAGCCCGATCACGCGCTCCAATTCTTCAGGTGGGTTGAACGGGCGGGTTTAATTCAACACGACCGCGAAACCCACATGAAGATTATCCAGATTTTGGGTAGATATTCTATGCTTAATCACGCCCGTTGTATTGTTTTAGAAGATATGCCTAAGAAGGGTTTTGAATTAGATGAGGATATGTTTGTTTTGTTAATTGATAGTTATGGTAAGGCTGGGATAGTTCAAGAATCTGTTAAGATGTTTTCTAAAATGAAAGAATTAGGTGTGGAGAGGAGTATTAAGAGTTATGATGCTTTGTTTAAGGTTATTGTGAGGAAAGGGAGGTATATGATGGCCAAAAGGTTTTTTAATAAGATGCTAGATGAAGGGATTGGGCCGACTAGGCATACTTATAATGTGTTGATATGGGGCTTCTTTTTGTCAATGAGGTTGCGAACTGCAGTCAGGTTTTATGAAGATATGAAGGTTAGAGGGATATCTCCGGATGTGATTACTTATAATACGATGATTAATGGATATTATAGGCTTAAGAGGATGGAGGAGGCTGAGAAGTTGTTTGCTGAGATGAAGGCAAAGTATATTGCACCTACTGTGATAAGTTATACGACCATGATTAAAGGATATTTTGCAGTGGATAGAATTAATGATGGGTTGAGGTTGCTTGAAGAGATGAAGTCGGTTGGTATTAAGCCTAATAATGTGACTTATACGACTTTGTTGCCAGATCTTTGTGATGCTGGGAAAATGACTGAGGCTAAGGATATTTTGAAGGAAATGGTGAGGAGACGCATTGCACCCAAGGATAATTCGATCTTCCTGAAGTTGTTGAACAGTCATTGCAAGGCTGGGGATTTGAAAGCGGCTGTGGATGTGCTTGATGGAATGATTAAGTTGAGCATTCCATCAGAAGCTGGACATTATGGTGTCTTGATAGAGAATTTCTGCAAGGCTGAGGAGTATGATCAGGCAGTGAAGTTTGTGGATAAGCTCATTGAGAATGATATTATTTTAAGGCCACAGAGTACTTTGGAAATGAAATCTGGTGCTTATAACCCAGTTATTCAGTATTTGTGCAGCCATGGACAGACTGGAAAAGCAGAAATCTTATTCCGGCAGCTGTTGAAAAAGGGTGTTGAGGATCCTCTTGCCTTTAATAATTTGATCTGTGGGCATGCAAAAGAAGGAACTCCTGATTCTGCTTTTGAACTTCTAAAGATCATGGGTAGGAAAGGAATCCCCCGAGATGCTGATGCTTACAGGTTGCTTATCGAGAGCTACTTGAGGAAAGGTGAGCCAGCTGATGCTAAAACAGCTTTGGATAGTATGATTGAAGATGGACACCTTCCAGAGTCATCGGTATTCAGGTCAGTGATGGAGAGTTTGTATGAAGATGGTAGGGTTCAAACTGCAAGTCGTGTGATGAAAAGTATGGTGGAGAAGGGGGTGAAAGAGAACATGGACTTGGTTGCTAAGATTTTGGAAGCTCTTCTCATGAGAGGTCATGAAGAGGAAGCCCTTGGACGCATTGATCTCCTCATGAGTAGTCAGTGTAATGTCAATTTTGATAGTCTTCTGTCCATTCTTTCTGAGAAGGGCAAGACCATTGCTGCTCTTAAGTTGTTAGATTTTGGATTACAGAGGGACTGTGACATAGACTTTAAAAGCTATGATAAAGTGTTGGATGCTCTCTTAGCAGCAGGGAAGACTCTCAATGCATATTCAATTTTGTGTAAAATTATGGAGAAAGGAGGAGTCACTGGTTGGAGGAGCTATGAGGATTTGATTAGGAGTCTTAACCAGGAGGGAAACACAAAGCAGGCTGATATACTCTCAAGAATGATAAAGGGAGGTGATAAGTCACATGAAAACAAGAAAGGGAAGAAGAAAGCTTCTGTTGCTGCTTAATTCCATTGCTTTTTTTTCTTTTCTTTTCTTCATTTAGTGGTCAGAACTTTCTTGAACGTTTTGTTGAAAATGATTAGTACTTCATTTTGAGTAGAATAAGGTTTTTAGTAGAGCAATGTAACCTGACCGTTTGTTTATTTTGAACCAAGGGGTGTTATACCTCATTCCCTCTTACATGGATCACGTTTCATTCTTTGAACTATTGTAGGCGAGGAGAGGTGGATAGTCTAGCAGTGGAGCTGCTTATGTGTTTATGTGTTGGATTTTCATCAAAGCATGTCATGTTCTTGTTATACTGTTTTCTTTCAAGCAACAAGTGTCATCTTAATGGTTATTGTGAGCACTTGGAACAATGACTCTTAGTTGCAACTTCTGCGTTACACAAACACTTAACACTTAGAAATAATAAATTTTTGCTTTTATCTTCCATTTACCTGCTGAGAGGGTACTTTATTCAGTTGAAAAATGAATAGAGCAATGATATATTGTGAACTTCTTTATTTTGCGTTGTTTTTTTCCCCTTTCGATAATTAAACTGTATGATTATGTTTGGATTATAGAACTAAAGAAAGGAATAATATGTTTGAACTTTGAAGTGGTACTTTATAAAGGATATGTATTGTGTAGAATGGTTATGAATGTAAAGGTACGCTTGATCTATTCCTTGTTTAGATATCAGTTACTTTTATGATGGTTTTACAAATACAAGACCATGAGCTGTATTTATGAGATTGGGGCTTTTGAGAGGGTTTTTGGAATAATCTGGAGAGATCATTATTTGACTCGTCTGTAGGAAGATCCTTATCCTCTTCATGAATTCTCGTAATGAATTCCTTTTTTTTCACTTAATGGTCTGCATTTAATGTATGCTCCAAATTTACCTTAATGATGTTATAGAGGATTTGCTGATTTATAATGATGATAATTTTTAGTTAATTTATATGTAGCCACCCTTTACCCAGCTCTTTTCCACAAAATCGCCTCCCTATGAATTTCCCTTGTTCTAGATTTAGCGGGTGCTGCGTTGTTGTTTGGTTAACAGGAACAGGGTACACCAAAATTTTGACACCGGTGTGGAAAAACAATGTGGAGTTCTCATGATGAGAAGGACGGCACTTCTTTCTGAAGCAGGATCTGGGGTTAGCCCCAGACAAATTTGATATAGATTCTGAAGTAACCTGATTAATTGTTTTTCAAGATATCAAATGCGGGATGCTTGTGGCGTGTGCAGTGAGGGGAAAAGTCATCGGTTTCTGCTTTGCTTGCAATAGTGAGGCTATGAAATGGGTAAATCTGCAGGTCAGAAGAGAGATTCATTAATACATACATGATACGTCAACCTTAAGGTTTTCGATTTTGATCATGTCCTGGATACTCTTTTCCGGTCTTTTGAATGAATTGTTCTTGTTGAAACTAGATTACCCTTAAGATTCATTGCCAAATTTTACTGGCGAAGTTTCCAAGTTGTGGAACCATAAACCAGGCTCCAACACTATAATGAAATATTCAACCAAACAACTTTGAAGGATAGTCAATCAAAGAAGTTGCACCTCACAGCAAGAGGGCAATCAGCCGCGGCATAATTCCACATTTGTGGGACATGTTAGAAATTCTATTCCGCATTGTGTAACATGAGAGCTCTGCAGCAAGGCGGTTGCATTTTGAATGTACACGCGCTACCCAATTGTGTTCAATGGGCAGGAAGACTCCCGGACAAATATTTGCTTACTCTGGTTGTGACTGGAGTAAGCTCAGAAAATATTTGAGAGAAGTAGATTGAAGGGAAACTAGGCCAATATAGCTGAGGCTAGTTTTAAACTTCACAAAAGGATAAAATATCATTGACCACCTGCGCATCACCAACTACTGAGTTTCGGTTCTCAACTTTCCCACGCAAAACATGAGATCAAAACAATATAAAAGCTAAGAGAATCGGTACACAAACACATCAACAAAAGATGAGATGTCCTCGAATTAATTATACTACTTGTCAACATCTGCATACAGAAGGAAACATCAAGTTGCTAAACATATAGTCTAGCAATCAATGAAGTTGCAAGAATTCCAAGACAACAGTCACAAAAAGGAGCAGAGTGGCACAAGGATATACAATACTACAGAAACAGCCAACAAGCTGGCAGTTAAACTAATTTGATTAGAAAACTTCAGAAGATATGATACTCCAGCTGAGTGCAAGATAGAACTTAAGACACCGGTCCAAGATAATCACCCTCTAAACTGACCAGAGCCTGGAATTCCCTTTCTGCCTCTAACCATTTTGTTCCAAGCACAACAAAACGAACCACCACATCCTTTTCAATCTTTGACGTCTTGTCATTCAAGAAAACTGGATTTTCTCCAGGCACATAGCGGTAATCTAGCATTTTCATACTAGAGAGATAGATGTTGTCAATTGGCCCACATCTCAAGAGAACCCCATGCTTGAGCACCTTGTGAACAACCCCCTCTAAGATCTCCCCCTTGAAAATCTTGAAGGTGATACTACTGAAAACAACAGGAAATAGCACATCCCCTGTCTGCTGCCTGACTTTTCCTTCCCCTATGCTCTCCAAAGTTGAGACAGCAAGATAGTATCCGAGATCTTTGGTGGCCCGTTTTTTAGCGAAGTCATCTAAAAGGCAGACAACAATTGACCTTTGGAGCATTAGTCCTTTAGCATCCAGGTTCTCAGCAGGTATTATAACATTCCAGGGCAACTGCACTTTGAGAAACATCGTTTTTCCTTTTTCCACTTTTTTCACCTGTCATGAACCAAAAGGTAAGAAATAAATCAATCTCAGTCTCAGTTTTGGAAAGGACTCCTGAGGTGCAAATTAGAGACTAAGTACACTATCTAAATCTTATTTCACAATGCACCATACATAGAACCCAAACAATATATTAAGGACCAGTTATTCAACTACCACTATTTGAGGATAATTTGTCACGTTTTACCAAACTTAAGTGGCACCACCTAAAATGTTTTAGATATGCTAACAAAAAATAATGGAAAGAAGAAACCAAGAGCATAGCTTTATGAAGAGACTCCTAGCAGACAGACGATTGCAAACCCAACCACAAAGCCATACACACTACCTCTTGAATTAACTAGGTAGCCCCATCCATTATTTTGGTCCCCCAGGGTTTGCACAGATACTATTATTAACTAAAAGAAATTTTTAAAGAAATCTATACACATGTTACTAGTCAGCTGACTTAGGAGAAAACATGAACCAGAACAGAAACCACAAAAGACAGCAGCATGATTGTTAAACCCAAAACTTAAAAATGCAGTTGGAACTTGGGGCCCACTTGCGCTCAACATCCAGAAAGGCATGCAGTGGATGAGGTTGAATTAAACACCATTTTAGCCACAGAGCCCATAGGCAGACTTTAAACCAGGCAGCCATTAACTATCTCATCCTTTGCTCACACAATCAAACATCCCCAAGGTTTCAGAGGGGAAGTTCTCCATCCAAGTCAACTATATTGCCTTGGAGTGAAGAGGAGAATAAATTTCAACTCCTTGATTTTACGGTAAAAGTAAAACAAAGGAGAGAGCACTGAAAGTAAGAATAAATTCAAAAGAGTAGAGAGGGATCAACATATTGCAATAACCCTAAGCTTATTTTAATTTTTTGTTTTTCAAGTATGCATATGCCTGGAGTATGAAAAAACAACAAGAAGAAACCACTGCACCAATCAAAGGATCAGAAAATATAGATGGTTTTCTAATAGTCTTGCAGAAAATTATAAGTCTTAACTACAGCAAGTTCTCCTACATCAGACTAGAGCGTCAATTGCCTCTACCTAGTCAACAAAGGTATTTGCAGTTCTTCTATACAACTCAACTCAGCCATGTCTTAGCTCCGATAAGAGCTAAACTTTCTATCACTCAAGTAAAAGTACTTCAAAGTAATGGTTGAATCATCATATGTTTCAATTGTTTGATACAGGTATTATGGTTATTGTTTATGTGCAAGTGTCTTTGCTAGCACCCCCAAAAACTGGTGAAGGGTTTCAAAATCATTTACACCACAAACCCTGGCACAGCCTTATGTGTGACTCCGTTTTAAATCTATACTTTCAATCTAAACCCAAATTAGGTCTGTCACTTGTGTTTTTGCAGTGTCCAGACCACATGCACAATGATGAACCACATGTTAATTAAGTTTTATAGACACACGTTCCTATTTTCTGATTTACATGGGCCCAGCATTGAATCATATCAAAAGAAAATTGCACGTATTTCTGAAACCAAATAACTCCATTCATTTACGCATTTACATAACAACAGGTATTTAGAGTCCTCTCCTCTTCCAGGTAAAGCATAATTAACTAATTCAATGCACTCATCAGTCCCATTCAACCAGACAATAACATTGCATTTTAAATAAGAAAGCACAGAAATTTGATTAATAGCCTCTTAACTCATCCTCATTCAATTTAATACAACATTTTCATAGTTAAAAAAGTCCAAAATAATAAGCTCTTGATATTTCTTGCCTTCTTGACTTCTCTCGTGTTGAAGAAAAACAGATATGACAAAAAAAAAAAACATACCCATAAACCTGGCTTTAACCAAAATTCCTTATGAAAAAAAGTAACTCCGGACAACAAAGAAAAAATTTACAGAATTGAAAACTAGGATGCTCCCATATGAAACAAAGACAAAACCTTTACTAAATTAGTTCGAAGCGGGAAAATAGAAAAAAACACTAACTTTCGCTTAATGAGTGCATCAAAATAGACGAACATCAAATGGGTTTCAATAATGGAGAACCTGAACTCGTCCTAGATGATAAAAGAGAGCCCTTGTTGTTGTTGACTCACCGAGTTGTAACGCGTTCTCCTCCTCGGTTCTTTCTCTTCCCAGTTCACAAGGCCTCAGTTGGCACTGGTGCGTGCCCTGGTAGATGTGTGCCTGACCATTTTTTTTGTTTTGCGCAGCGACTGTCTGGGTCCTACACAAACGTCTTTATGTAGTTATGGTGACAGAGAATTTGCATCCAGTTGCTTCAGGCCACGTCAACCTGCAAAGCGCTTTCTGGCATTTTGGTGACGATGATTTTACTATTAGCAAATAATAAAGTAAGTTTTTGAGGTAGAGTTATTATTAAAACGACACATTTATCAAAATAAAAATCACAGTAAATACGATTAGGTGCTGTTTGAGATCATATTTTCTTTCTATGTTTTTATTTTTAAAAATTAGAAAAAAAGCATGTGGAAATTTATTTTTTTATTTTTTGTTTTATAAAAATAAAAACTGACATCAAGTCTTCTTTAAAAAAGAAAGTGATTTTTAAAAATTTTAGAATTGATTTTTACACTCCAAGTTTAATAACCTGTGAGTTAGGTCGGGTTTGTGACGTTAGGGAATGGACATGCATCACCTAACCCAAGATGCACAACATCGGGCCTAGGTTGGGTTCCTAGCACCTAAGGTCGAGTTTGAATGCAGGGCTCGGGTCGGGATCGAGTCTAGGTGTAGGGGTGGAGGATAGTACACCTAAGGATTGAGCCCGGACTTTCGTTGGTCAAGTCTGTGGATTGTCAGACATCTAGGGATCGAGTAAGGACCGGGACTATGGTTGGGCCAGGGTCGTGTCTTTTGCATATAATTTCAGAACGCTTACGATTCAGGCCATAGCAGAGATGGACGCCTCCGAGGGTAAGGTCAGGACTAAACAGGGGAGAGGGCAGTACGCCTTGAAAATGAAACTTAAGTTTGCATTCTTCTTTCTTTTGAGTTTTTTTTTTTTTTCATTTTCACTTTGGCTTAATGATTTAATTAAATAAAATTCCTTACATATAAAGTTTAAAAAATCTAAGGATGAGAATAAACCTTTTACACCATCAGCAGCCTGTGATCCCGAGGTATTGTTATATTATATTTTAAATTTGGATAGCTTCAATATTTTTTCTAAAAGTTAATTAAGAAGATATGGAATTAATTAAGTGTAAAAGAAGGCATAATGGTTTGAAACTTTAATTTATTAGGTTATTGTTATCAGTATATTCTCCCAATTTTATCATATGCCCCAAAGTCATTTAATTTTATACTTAGAACAAAAAATAATGACCAGCTTTTATTACCTTGGGATTCAAAAGATATTACAAGATAAAGATGTTGTTTTAACCAATTGAATATTGCCATAAAATATATTTTAAAGTGATTGATATACCATATAGATTTTAAATTAAAAATTGGGTGATAATTAAAATTTAAAGCTCATTAGACTATAGTAATAGACCGAGTACATTTATAATGGATAGAGACGTAAAATTAGATTATATATAAAAGTTTTCTAGTAAGCTAAAGAGAAATTAATGAAAAGTCTATGTGTTTTATCTATATAAAATAACTTTAAAATTATAACATAAATTATAAGTGATGGATCATGGTTTTTTAAATTAATTTTATTTAAGAGATCACGTATAAAAGTTATAATCTAAAATAACGCTATGTCATTTAGGATGTCAAACCTCAGGTTAAGCCATAACATGGCCACGCCTCACTACAAGTTGAGTTAGGGTATGTTCATGTCTAGTCATATTTTGATCCTAGGTATAAGCACGCCCAACTCTACACATCTACACCTAGCTCCGTGTTGGTTTCGGGCATGGACCCTAGCCCTACTTTGAGTCCCGGCGTGACCACACCTAACTTTACATTGAATGCGTCCCACATTAGACTCAAACGCGACCATGTCTAACTCTACATTGGGCGTGGATGCATCCATGCCTAGCTCCACGTTGGGTCTGGGCATAGACGCGTCCCACTCAGCCCCATATTAGGTCCGAGCATAACAACATCCAGTTTCACGTTGGACCTAGATGCAACCACGCCCAACTCAAACTAGACTTGGGTACATCTGCACCCCATTTTCTTTTGGATTTTAAGCGCGAATTAAGCCCAACATTTTTCAAATCAGATATGGAATTGAAGGATCACTTTACACGAAACCTCTCATGTCTCAAGTCTGAATTAATAATCTTGATGCTCATCACAATCACGATTCTATTAAATATGAACAAGTCAATTGTACTTATATTAATTAAATGTGATATTACAATCAGTAAAATAATATTATCTTATTTATACAATATTATTTTTTTACCCAACATTATTTTTTTACCCCTCTTATATTGCATGAGACAATAAAAATAAGGTGATATAAAAGAACGGAAAAAAGGGAGGAAAGGGGACTTTTCTCCTCTTCTCACCTTTAAATCTTCTTCTTTAATTTTTTCTATATATTAATGAATGCTTTTCAACATTTATTAAATGCTTTTCAACATCTTCACATTAACGTTGTTCTTCATATAAATATTCCTGATACTGACTTGATGTTCAAAGAATCCTCTATCCACGCCTCCTAGGAGACTTCGTGCAAATATCTTTTCCACCTAGAAAAGGATTTGCTTAAGAAAAAACCTATGTGATGTTGAAATAAAGTTCATTAAATTCACCATAAATAATGTCTGGGAATTTCAAGGAATCAATCATCCTAAAACATTCCCTGTTAGAATCTCATCAATAAAACTTTTTATTCTTAAAATCACATAAATCTCTAGATAATTATTTCAATACGACAAAGATATATATCCTATTAATTTTTTCCGCTGTGTTTGTATGCTTAAAATATTAAAATTATCTTACAATCTTTTTATTTCACATGAACGGGCGAGATTTCTACCGCCGAACAACATTGAATTTTGATAAGGGGAATGGGTTGGTCTTCGAGTATTCTTTTGAAATAACATATCCATGTTTGCACCTTAATACCACAACTGATTCCACGACTGACATCCATGTCATCCAAGATTGATCCTTGTAGCGCCTGCATGCCATCTACTCAAGTAAAATGCTTCATAAATTTTCCACGATGTTAAAAGACAGTTACACTTTAAAATTCATGCTCACAGCGCAGACAAGCAGTCCAAATTTTTTGCACAAGCAGAACAGTAATGCTGATCTAAACATCTATAAGTCTAACTCATCAGATCCACATAATGAAATTGGTCCGAGGGAATCACCTACTAAACTTGCAAGCATCATGAAATCCCTTCTCATATCCCACATTTTCTCTATCCATCTCACGTCAAGCACAGAGAAACGGACTAGTACATTATTTTCTATCCTCGCAAGCTCATCGTTCAAGAAGACTGGATTTTCCTCGGAAGTATATTGGTAATTTGGCATTTTCCTAGCTGAAAGGAAGATATACTTGACAGGTCCGCATCTCAATAGGACTCCATGTCTAAATGTACGATGAACAACCCCCTGCAAAATTTCTCCTTTCATAGGCATGAAGGTTCGACATTTAAACTCTACATGGAACAACATATCGCCAGACTTGTTCACTACTTCCCCTTTGCCTATGCTCTTCAAATTAGTTACTGCAAGAAAGTAACCATGATCCTTGCTGGCCTTCATGCTCAATAAGTCCTTCAACAGGTGTGTTACTATAGACCTCTGTGGAACCAATCCATTTCTGTCCAAGTTTTCAGCAATGATTCTGACAGTACTGCAGACTTCCACTTCACCAAACATGCCAGTGATCTACTCCAAAATAACTCGAATAAACAGAATAACAAGGAAGTCCTTGAACAATCGAACAACCAGCTTACTCTGGAAATGCATCAAGTAGTTAAACAGAGAATAACAGTGAACCAAGTTTTCAAAACAAAACCTGATCCAAATAGTCTAATGAGTGAGATTAGGAAGTTTAAAACTATAATATGATACAAGAAGTGATTGCTAAAGTATAAGTACATAGCTACTTTCATTGGACAAAAAATAGAGTAACCATAGGACAACATAGTTACAGCCAACTATTAGGTCATCACTGGTTGGAACTTGGAAAACATAGAAGAATAAACTAGGTCAGGTTTCAGCTTGCAGCGATGGGGTTTGCTACAATGCTGATGCTTTGAGCATCAATATAATGCTGGTGGACATTAGGCCACTGGATTTGAATCAAGTGAGTCCCATTTTGCTGTCTTATTCAAATCCATTGACCCTAATGGCCATTGGCAATATGCTGATGCTTTGAGCATCGAATTCTAGTCTTCCCCTGCATTAATAGGGTCTGCTAATTCTAACTCTTCTCAAATAATTGTCAACATATTCACCAAGAAAAGCAGATCTTATTACTAGTCATCATAGCACAGTTTCAGTTTCCACAGTTGTTTATACATCATTGAAGCACATGATCTTAGTTTGTCTAGATGCAAGTAAAATCAAATAAAACCCTTCTTCCAAATGACCTAACCCTCCATCTCCAGTTACACCTGGACTTGTGACCCAACAAGATTCAAATATGCCTATGAATCCACACACGCCTATCTTACTCAACAGCCTAACAACAGTAAGAAATTAACTGAAAATGTTGCAGTGATTTGAATTTGAAACAGAGTTCAAACCAAAACATGTTCATCTACCAAGGAAATTTAGAGGGAAAAAACATCCTTTATGATCGAGCATAATTACAAGGGCAGTAAATATATTCACCATATAAGGTGATGCTATATAGATTCTTACCACAATGAGCAATGTAAATTTTTGCATGCCTTTAACTAAACCGACATGAAAACAACCTACTTGGTTTGCTTGCAAAATAAAATCCCATCAACTCATAAGTAAAAATCCCACCATTTATCAGTTGTTAATAACTCGCTGTTATTAGTACAGAAAGAAAACCCGATTTCAAATTTAACCCAGATCAGATCAGATCAGATCAGATCAGGCTAAGAAAAAAGAGTCACGAAAAACAGGAATTTAATGCAGAAAAAACAAACTGAAGTGAAGTAAGCGAAGGAACCTGAGCTTTGGCCTTTTGAATTTCGAAAACGCTACGCTATGGAGTAGTATTAGCTTCTGCTTCTCTTGTATCCCTGTCTCTCTGCGTGTGAATTATGCAGTAGATAAAAATGCAAGCGTTGTGAGGTGGGGTCCGTTTGGCAAGTGTCAAACTGTATATGTAATCCAACACGGGGCTGTTTGGGGTTAGGGATCTCCCGCTCAGAGTTAACACTCGACTTTTTTTTTATTTCTTTTTTATTTGACAGTAAGGTTATTCTCCACATGACTACCAGTTTGGATTCGGGTAACTTTTATTTTTGAATATTTTTTAAAAATATATTTATTTTTAAAAAGTATTAAATTATTTTTTTAGTATGTTTTGATGATTTTAATATGATAATATTAAAAATAAAAAACTAGAAATATATTTTAATATATTTTTTTAAAAAAATGTTTTTAAAAAATATTTACACAATTAAAATGGATAAAAAAGGAGATTTATGTATTAATCAAAATTATTTTTTAAGAAATAAATCCAAACAAGACACCCTTTCCCATTGATTGCTGACCTTAAATTTTAAACTCGTGAAATTAAAAAAAAATAAAGCAAGATCAACTTTTTAAACTTAGCAATGTAACCTATGTTTTGGTTTTATGTTTTTTATTCAATGGCTAGTTGTATTTTAATTAAGTGTTAAAATTTAAAATTAAATAAAATTCAATAAATTTAATTTATTTATCAATTGAGTTTAAATTAAATACTATAATTAAATTTAATTATCATAGAGAATTAGTTCAAACAACTTGTGAGAGAATTATAAAAATCAAATTACCCATTTAAAATAAATTAAATATTATTATTAATTTTTAGCAATGATTTCTTTAAAAACTAAAAAAAGTTTTTTTTTCAATAATTAAGAGCAATAACCTTTAATCTTTAACAGAAGGAAAAAATAAAACCCAATGAATTTTCGTCTCATCAAGAAAAATCTTGCTATAATCATTAAAGAACAAAATGTTATGAGTTAAAGTTCTACTTTCAAAGGAAACTAAAAAACAAACCTTTAAACTAAAAAAAAAAATAGAAAGAAAAGAAGGTTAACATGGATGAGGAATTCCATAGCGGGTATAGCGAAACTCCTAGCCGGGATTGGAGCATCAATTCTTTATGCAACCAAACTGACCGCAGATATTATTAACCCGCCATGGATGGATAACATAACAATCCAAGACAGGCAGCATCCATTTGCAGTCTGTGGCCGTTAAACCCCACAAAAAATCATACAATTTCTTCATTTGGGCTTATAAATTAGCTAACTTGCCTCCACACTTTATTCACGTATGCACTGTGATAATAATAACAATGGCTTTAGTGCCTAGTCGTCAATTATACATTGATTCTTTTCAAAGCTCCTTCTCGAAATTCCATGGCACTCCTCTCCAATTCTTCAGGTACAGTTCATCTTTTCCTCTCAGATCACACTCTGGTTATGCATGTTCAATCACTGACAAAAACCCACCTAGAAAATCTACCGCTTTCCCCACTGATAAACCCAAGACCTTAAATTTATCTACTGGCAGCAGTTGGTTTTTTAATTGGAATAAACCCAACAAGCAAAACCTACCAAGACCCCCTCAAGCTGTGTTTGATTATCGAAGCAATAACAGTATCAGTAGTGGTAGTGGTAGTACAATGGAGAAAATAGTGGAAAAATTGAAGAAACATGGTTACATGGATGGTGATGTTAATGAGAATAAAGAGAGAATGCAAGAAAGAGTGATAGAGAAAGGGAGTGTTGAGGATATATTTTATGTAGAAGAAGGAATGCTGCCGAATGCACGAGGTGGGTTTTCCAAGGAATCACCTTTAGGAGTAGAGGATGTGTTTAGGAGTGACGGGGAGGTGAGGTTTCCATGGGAGAAGCCAAAGAAGGAGGAGGATGAGGGGAAGTGGACGGCGAGGAGTAAGAGTAGGACATCATTAGCAGAGCTGACATTGCCAGAATCTGAATTGAGGAGGTTGAGGAACTTGACATATGGAACGAAGAGCAAGACTAGGGTTGGGGGCAGGGGGGTTACTCAGGAAGTAGTTGATGCTATTCATGACAAGTGGAAGACTTCAGAGATTGCGAGAGTGAAAGTTGAGGGTGCACCGGCACTTAATATGAAGAGGATGCACGAGATATTGGAGGTATGCTGCCTCTGAATTTGGTTATCTATTTTTACCTGTGTGAATGTGAATTCTTTGCTATGTTTGCTATTCTAGGCGATTAGTGAAGTCCTTTATTTTGTATGTTTATTGCATTGGTGATGGGATGTTAATTGAAGGAAAAAAGTAAAGTAAATCAACACACCACAAGCAAAAGAAACCATGCTTATAGAAATTTTAAGTATTCTTGGTTGCTAAATTGGAATTAAAGTGTTGCTCATAAAAAGAAAAGACTATTGGAATCCAATTGTATTTGATAAATGTGAAAAACAAAACAAGATACTAGCTAGAGCCTGGCGACTGACGAGCATAAGGCCATCCTTTCTTGTGCATTGGCTCTAAATCTTGCATATGGGCAAGAAAAGAAACAGCAATGGTCACCCAGTTCACTGGTTTGCTAGAAGCAAATAGAGTGGGAATTATTAACAAGATATATGAAGTCTGTATATAACATAGTTGGGACTTGTGAATCATTGATTTTAGGTGATAGCTGATCATTTTGAAGGGAATCTTTGGCCCGAGGTTCTCATTTAGCAAATAAGAAGCCAGGTACTTGCTGTATCTAGCCACAATACTTAGGAGACAGGCTGGTGATTATGAGAGGATATATTATTCCCTGGCACCCATTAACCGAAGAATTATTATGTTTAATCAGATTGCCCCTTGAGATTTTCTTAGATTTGAAATCAACCACAAGTGAAGTAGTCAATTGTCCCTTGGAAAGGGTGTTGCGTAGTATTTAGAACTGTTTTCATCTTTTTCATATCTATTCTCTGCATCTTGTATTTTCAATGTATTCGCTCTTTTGCTTTACTTATCATGCAATGATGTTCTGTCAACCTTCCCTTACATAGTTCAAGAAACAGAATGCAGTATTCATTAGACAATAATGATATGTATGGATATTTGTTACTGGTGCATCTTGATGAATAATTATTTCATCCATGGTTTAAGAATGCTACTCTTTGTTATTCTTTCTCCTTTTCATTTCCTTGAAATCATAACATGTGCAGAAAAAAACTGGGGGCTTGGTGATTTGGAGGTCAGGAGCTACTGTATCTTTATATAGAGGTGTGAGCTATGAGGATCCAGCATTGAAATGGAAAAAAAGGATATTCAAGAAGAAAGAAACATCTTCTAATTTTTTACCAGCTGCTACTAGCATAACTATTGGAAGTCAATCTAAACATTCTCCTGATAATGAAATACATGCTCCTCGACCAAAAACAGAAATTAATGTGGAGGCTGCAAATCAAAAAGAGACAGAAACACAGACAGATGCAAAATATGAAGATGAAGTAGACAAGTTGTTAGATGGTCTGGGCCCCAGGTACACAGATTGGCCAGGACTTGATCCACTACCTGTAGATGCAGATATGCTTCCTGGGGTTATTCCCGGTTACCAACCTCCATTCAGGATACTTCCTTATGGAGTAAGACCTACTCTTGGACGACAAGATTCAACGTCCTTACGAAGGCTTGCCAGGGTCCTTCCTCCTCATTTTGCATTAGGTAGGTTATTTTTCTTTAGAAATACTGTTTATAGCTTCACAACCTGTAGTGATTGTGTGTCAATTTTCCTGAACCAGGCAGAAGCAGGCAACTCCAAGGCTTGGCTGTGGCCATGATTAAATTATGGGAAAAGAGTTCAATTGTGAAGGTTGCACTTAAACGTGGTGTACAGCTGACTACTAGTGAAAGAATGGCTGAAGATATTAAGGTAGTGCAACAGATCTCATGAACTTTCACAAATTTCATCCATTAGCTAGCAATTGTTTATTATAACTCAGTTTGTATAGACTATAGAATAATTGTCATTCTTGCCTCATTTGCATTTTTATTGTTTTGTATTGGAATCTATGCATAGTATTCTTTGTGCAATAATCTGAGTATTATGAAAATGAAAAATGTTGTTTTAGTTCCTGAACTAGCGTATCAAATATTGATAAGTAAAACATCAATTGCATGGTACTGTAAACATCATCCATTAGGTAGCAATTGTGTAATAGAACTCAATTTGTATAGACTGTAGAATAATTGTCATTCTTGTCTATGTACATATTCATATGTGAATACTAGGAAACCAAGCATATGCTTTTTCTCACCCCTCATCCCTAACATGGTTGTGGGGATTCAATAAGAGCGCTGCGCCTGGAAAGTTGCAAGAATAGTAGATTAATTGCTGCAAAAGTAGATGGATAATCTTCTGTGGGTGCATCGAGCCCCTGAAGCATTTCATCTGAGTATCTTATGACCAATGGAGCCATTACAGGTGCTTTATTGAGTGTCGGTGATATAGATCATTCCTCGTTTCCTTGTTTGCATTTTTATTGTTTTGTATTGGAATCTATGCATAGTATTCTTAGCGCAATAATCTGAGTATTATGAAAATGAAAACTGTTGTTTTAGTTCCTGAACTAGCATATCAAATATTGCAAGTAAAACATCAATTGCACAGTGCTGTAAACACTGATGAAAAATGATTGCTCATTTGCACTTAAGTTTTTGATTAGCATATTGAATAGTTGACTTTGTAATTGTTGTTGCTGGCACAGAAATTGACAGGGGGCCTGCTGCTATCTAGAAATAAGGATTTCTTGGTGTTCTATAGGGGAAAGGATTTTTTGTCACCAGAGGTAACTGAAGCATTGCTGGAAAGGGAGAGATTGGCGAAGTCCCTACAAGATGAAGAGGAACAGGCACGGTTAAGAGCATCTGCCTTGGTTATACCAAATGATGAAATAATGGAGGAATCTGGAATTGCTGGCAGCCTTGAGGAAACTTTGGATGCAGATGCAAAGTGGGGAAAGAGGTTAGATGATTGTCATAAGGAAAAAATTATAAGGGAAGCTGAAATGGTAAGGCATGCTAGCATTGTCAGAAGGCTTGAAAAGAAGCTTGCTTTCGTGAGTTCCTTGAAACTTGGTATTCTCTTGCCATGTCCCGTGAAATATTTTTCTGTTACCTAAGTACATTCCTTATATGAATTTGTATTGCATGCAATTCTTGCTTGAGATTTGCTAGGTTCCCTTGCTAATTTATGAAAGAGTAACTTATTAAGTCTCCTAAAGTTCTAGTGTGATTAAACTCCAGTCCTTGTTTTTCTAAAACCAACAATACTTGCTCTCCCACTAAAATTTGCGTCTTGAGGACTACCATGTTGGTTTTACAAATACAGTGACTAAATAAACACGTTGATGAACTAAATATAAATTGCTTTCCCTTAAATATTATGTATGTAATCGAGTTAAATGTAGATGATCCACTACATAGTGTAATCGCCTTACAAGCACATGGTGTCACATGTTTTGTTCTAAATCTCCACAGCTTGAACTCAATGGTGTTTTGTTTGTCAGGCTCAAAGAAAGTTAAGAAGAGCCGAGCGAGCCTTGAATAAGGTGGAAGGGTTTTTAAATCCATCAGAAAGGCAGGCAGACCCAGAAAGCATAACTGATGAGGAGAGATTTATGTTTCGCAAGCTTGGTTTGAGGATGAAAGCTTTCTTACTTTTGGGTAAAAATAAAACTATCTTTGTAATAAATCCATCATGGATTTTGATTGAGTGCAACTCACAAGTTAGTAAAACTCTTGCTTCAGGTAGGCGTGGAGTTTTCGATGGTACAGTGGAAAACATGCACTTGCACTGGAAGTACCGTGAATTGGTTAAGATCATTTTGAAAGCTAAAAGTTTTGAACAGGTTAAAAAAATTGCTCTGGCTCTTGAAGCTGAGAGTGGGGGTGTCTTGGTTTCAGTGGATAAAATCTCCAAAGGATATGCTATAATTGTATACCGAGGAAAGGATTATCAACGCCCTTCCATGTTGAGGCCAAAGAATCTCTTGACAAAGAGGAAAGCTCTGGCCCGCTCAATAGAAATTCAAAGGAGTGAGGTATCATTTATAAATTTGTATTTTATTATTAATATTTTATTTTTTGTCAAAACCCTTGCATTTGCTTTGCATTTTTTAGTGAGGTTCCATTCCAAAAAACTTTGAAGTTAAACCTGCAAAAGCCATTTGCCTGGCAGTGGTTCAGGTGCTCCATGCTATGGCAGGTGGTATCTCGCATTTCCCTCCTGTCTAGGGGCAAGTTGCTTTTGAGTTTTGAGCACTTTAGGCTGAAATTCTCTCTCGTTGTAATGCGAGGACCTTACCTAATGGCTCTGCTGGCCTCCCAGCAGTGAGCAGACTACTCACCTACATACAATTGTGAAAGCATCAATGTTTTGGAAACCCAAACCTGAAACCTTCAACGAGTCATTTTCAGCAATGCATGTTATCAGGCTCATTAAAAGACTGGTCTATGGTTAGTGTGGTTTCCAATGCCCAGCGTAGCCTCCCTTCTTCAATTGATACTAGGAGCTTGTCTATAAGTATTTAATGGGTTTCAAACAGCGGCTACATGCATTTATAAGGACTTGAACCTAGTACCATGAGGCCGCCATACTTGCTGCATTTGGGTGGTTATTTTGGGGAACTTTAGCCTGCACATCCATGCTTCAAATGAAAAAATGGGTTGGACATTTGGGGGGGGTCCCATGATGAACAATCCCCTTCTTGGATACAAAATCTTAAAGTTCAGTAGCCGAGGTATTTGCAAACATCAATCACCTTGGTTGACAGTTCTGATTATGCTGTTGAACAGGCTCTCCAAAATCATGTTTCAGCTCTGGAAATTAAAGTGGAGAAAATAAGATCTGAAATCGTAAGGCTTCTTTTATGTTTTAGCTCTTGTTCTTTTACTTACACTTCTTCAGTCGAATCTTATTTGTATTTGGTGCGTATCTGACATTTGTAGGAGCAAATGGGCATTGTCAAAGACAAAGGAGATGAGGAGTTGTATGACAGATTAGATTCTGCTTATCTGACAGATGATGATGCGGATGATACAGAGGTATATGCTTATTTGATCTTCTATGTCTGCATCTTTTGTCTGTTAAATTTGCTGTTTAACACTCTTCGTTCTCATTGCCTTTTATAGGATGAAGGAGATGAAGCGTATCTTGAGACATACAACAGTGAAAATGATGTTGATTATGATGATGAAACTGACAGCACAGTTCACAATGCCCATCTGGATACGAATCTTCTTAACAATGTTCAGATACAAGAGTCTGAAACAGTACCTGAGGTCTATTTTTACAGCTTTACTTATGTGCCATCCATTTCTTCTGTTGTTTGGGCTGCTAAATCTAATTTGTTCTAACACCTTTCCATGTCCTTTTATCCCCTTAATAGGATTACTACGGAGATGAGGTATATCTTGGGACGGATGACAGTGAAAGCGACGATCGTGGTGATGATTCTGAGACAGATAATAACCTTGATTCAGAATCTCCGTACAAATTTTCCATGTGATGTCCAAAACCGTGTGTCTAGGAAAGGACTCGAGGTTTGTGATGGACATGCATGAGCATGGCTAATTTTGTGTGGCAGCGGCTACACAGCGAGAGGAGGAGGAGAAGATGATGATTTATATTTATCTACCAATGAAAATAAACATCATCTTAGCTCGAAAAATGCTACCTTATGGCAATAAGATCTCAGACCACTTGCACCTCACTGTGTACAAAACATCTCTATACGCTCATCCATGGATGGATTTGCGGTCTGTAGGCCTGTCAATTGGTGTCTTCAGCTTTTGTTGTATTTTGTCAACAGCAAAGAAAAAAAAAGAACTATACTTTGTTACTGCCGAATTACACGAGTCAGCTTAAATTTCGTTAATATATGGAACAAGTTACAGATGGAAGCTCGATACTTGCTAGTCAATTAGCCAATTATGTCCTAGGAGATGAAATTGAAAAGTTGCCTCTTGACTAGAATGATTAAAATTGGGAACCAGGTGAAAATTTTCAAAGGGCTGTCCTGCAAATGTGCAGCGGAAGGTTTTGAATCCGAAGGGGAAAGAAGGAAGAAAAGAAATGGCCATACGATGAATCTCATGAACCACTAAAAATGATAAAAATATATCTATTTAAAATTTAATTATTCCTAATTATATCTATTTTATTTTAAAAAATAAATCTAAAGAATATCATTAATTACTTTCTAAAACCCATAAAATCTCTCGAGCTTATCATGCTAAGGAAACTAGCTGCCGCGTGGATGGGAACAGTCAATGCTCTGTTTTTGGTTAAATTAGAATGGTCGCCCATCCATGCATAGCTGGTCAAAGTGAGTTAACTGCAATGGTTGATCACAAAAATTATTCTCAGCAAGTCGGCGACCACACTCTCTCTCTCTCTCTCTTTTTCTGGCTTATTTTACTCCTGGACTGAGTTTTTTCTTTATTTTAAACTGACACGTGTCAAAAAATATTTCTTAAGCTAGCACTGCCCGAAAAATATTTGTGCGGTGCGCGGGTGTGAACAATGCCACATCATAGATTGCTCTACGATTAATTGAAAAATTAGGCTGTATTCTTGAATTTAATTTAATTTTATCAACCCTAATTCAATCTTAAGGTAATTCTGTTTTAAAATTATTTTTGAAAAAAATTATTTTTTTAAATTATTTTTTTATATATTTTTAAATTATTTTTTTATATTTTTTTAAATTATTTTTTTTGATATTTTTAAATTATTTTAATATATTAATATTAAAAATAAATTTTAAAAAATAAAAAATATTTGTTTAATATTTTTTAAAATAAAAAATATTTTAAAAAACAGCCAACTCCCACCCTAACCTTAAATTCATACTATTCGTAGATAAGATAGACAAAAGGAAAGCTTAGATGCGGCGAAAACATTAATAATTTTAGACAAAACCATTAAATCGGGATTAAATTTAATCAAGAAATTCAAAAATCTTATGGGCGCTTCTGCCTTTCCAATTCGTGGGGCTTGGATGAAGCCGCGTGTCTTGTTAAAATCTTGCACAAGAAAAGAAAAGGACTGGCTTTCATAATCAACGGTCTGGATATCGCCTCCATCCATATTTGCTTGATTTGACTTTTCATGCGATACAAAGATGACTTAGCCAACCACCCCTTTGACAGTCTGTCTCTAATTGACTCGAGAGAAGTCGCTTGGACATGAACAACAAATTTGACCACATGCTAAATGTGTCTCTATTGCAATTACCCCTGCATATAAAACCCGAAATCCAGTTTAAGACGACCGTTAGTTATAACCGTTGGAACCTGAGATTTGAGCTTCCCGGCTGGAAGACGAGGAGCAGGACAGAAGATGGATGGTTTCTTTCAAGACGAGTGGCAAGGTGATGTCTTCTGGGATGAGATTGGTCCAGTGAATCAAGGTGCTTTTGTGCCGTATATACGCAGACCTGGGGCTGAAAGTGAGAGCTCTTCTAAGGGGGCACATCCTACTAACATGAACAAAAGAATGGTGGAATTCATGAGGAGAAGTTTTCCAGTAAATATTGGAGCTCAAGAGTCTGGTAGCAAACGCTGTAATCGTCATATGATGAGTGAGAGATTGAGGAGAGAGAGGGAGAGGCATGGTTACTTGGCTCTGCATTCTTTGTTGCCACTTGGCACCAAGGTTAGTGTTCAATAATGAAGTACAGTGCTAACTAATCACTCGTGTTTCTTTTCTTGTGCATTGCAAATATAGATGGTAATTAGTTTTATTTATTATTTAAAATGGTTAGTTTACCCATGTTTTTTTCTTGTGTGATCTTGATTTGCAGAAGGATAAGAACTCGATTATGCAGATGGCAGCAAAGAGAATTGAAGAGCTGGAGGCATACAAGAGTATTTTGGAGAGGAGAAATGGTGAAATTGAAGAGAAACTGGCAGGAAGTGGAATTGTAAATGTGGAGAGTACAAAGATTAGAATTGAAGTGGCCAATCCAACATCTGGGGTGGATCCTATGGTAGACGTTCTCAACTGCTTGAAGAGCTTGGGAGCAAAAACCATAAGCATTCAATCTCAGATTTCTGATCAGCAACTTGTAGCGGTAATGGACATTGAAACTGAGGTAATCCCCTCCTCTCCCTTGCTTTCTAACGACGGTCTTTTTCTTCAGGCAAGATTTGATGCAGCATATCATGCATGGTATCCCTGTGCTTGTTATTGTCAATTCCGGCAGTTATGTTTAACCTCTTGGTAGAGAGAATAGGAAACAAAGACACCATTTTTCATGGTCCATCAATATTTACCTCGTTGTATCTGTTTCTGGCACATGCTAGCCAAAAAACACACGAGTGGGTCGTATTTGGCCACAAACTGCTCAATTTTCTCATCCATGGAATGGAAGGGTCAATCTTGACTTTATCCACTTGCTGATGCTGGCCTTATGAATTTAAAAACAAGTGCTTGATAAAACGTGCACTGGTCTAGTATTTTAATCACCTTTTATTGATGCTGATTGTGCGTTTCGAATGTTGCTAGATTGAAGCTGCTGAGATAGAAAACGCCGTGAAACGAACACTTGCAAGATATTGACAAGTAACTTCCACGCTGTTTCCTCGAAGGTTAGACAGGAGAAAATTGGGGAGGTTGGTCCAATATTTTGAAGCTAGAAGCAAAAAGAAGTGATAGTAATTCAAGTCAGCTTGACTGTACAGTTTCAGCCAATTGTTAGGTAATTAAGGTTAAAAACGTGGAAGATCACTGCCTGGTCAGCTTCTCGATGGTTCAATTGTCTATGTTCGAATTTTGATTGACTAAAAGCTTGTAATTATACGATTATCGAAGCGTTGAGTGACATGATTGGAAAACTAAATAATTTGGCCTGGAAATAAGAGTATCTATCATTGATGGCTCGGTGCCAGAAGCTTAGGCAAGATTTACACAACTAAAAGTCCTGTAATCATTCTGTCACCACCCTCGAATCCTTTGCCTGATGGATTGCGACTTGTGAGTTAAGAACAAACCAATAAGCAACAAGAAAGGCCATGAAGTCGGAAGTAGTAGTCAGCAGTAAAATTTACATTATGAACAACCTCTAAATCAACGGACTGGCATCCGGTTCAACATTACATTGAAGTTGAAAGATTTGTCCATCCTATCGCTATGTTGTTTATTATCAAGACATTTCTATTTGCAAATGGTATTGTAGCACAACATTCAACCACTAAATTGATGCAATAATCGTTTGGGGGGGAACAGGCCATCCACCGAGAGCACTTGGAAAAAACTTTGAAAAACAAACTGGCTGGTAACCAGGGCTCAAACAAACAATGGTGGTAGCAGCAGCCACACCAGTGGGACCGTAAGAAAGTAAAATAAGCTAGGAATCCGTCTGATAAACAAGCACCATTTCAAGGATGGAAATGCCATGTTACGATGAAGTCAAATAGCCCGCAAAAGCACATTCCAATCTCACAGAGGCTTACAGAAACTAAAAGGCCCGTATCTGTACTTTAGGTTTTCTATCCATGAAATTGCGAGGTCATGAAAAACTAAAATGAATTCATGCCGCAAACCAGACATCAGTAAAACAATATGGTAAATGCAACCAGAAAATCCAAAAGCAGGTTCAAGCTACCATAAAATATAAAAATTAGCCATCCTGAGTCATCTTTCAAACCCATAGGAAAGAGAGATTCTCGAAAATTATATAAATCGAGCACAAAATGACAACATCAATGAACTAAATGGGCAAAAATTTGATCAATACAGATGTCTTCAAAAGATAGGTACGAACTAGGGTATCTAAACCTCTGCAAAACATCTCATTTAAGAGGAATGAACCTAGATGAATGAGTAGCACCAATACCGGGCCTACCATGCTTAACAGGCTTGTATGAGATTGAGAACTCAGCAAGATAATGCCCAATCATTTCAGGCTTGATCTCAACCTGATTGAATGTCTTGCCATTGTACACTCCAATGATGCTTCCAATCATTTCCGGCACAATGATCATGTTACGCAAGTGTGTTCGGACTGGTTCAGGCTTCTCACCAGCAGGGGCCTCCCTTTTCTGCTCCAGACATCAACAAAGAAATTAGATTATAATTTATATCAAAATTATCAAACAAACCCATCAATCCAGTTAAGAGCTTAGCTGATAATTAAGCCAAGTCAAAAAAAATCAGACTCTGATAATTAAGCCAAGTCAAAAGGTATATGAATAATTACCGCCGTGCGGAGCTTCTTAATGAGAGCCATGGGCTTCCTCTTCAGACCCCTCTGGAACCTAAAACGCACGATCACAAACATAGTAAATACGTGTTTAATATATAAACATGGAAAGATGCAAGTGTTGACAAAAGAAATACCTTCTGCGAGCACGGGCATTGAAGAGCTTGACAAGCTCATCAGTGGACATGTCAAGAAGAGCATCCAAGTCAACACCCCTGAAGCTAAACTTCTTGAACGTTCTCTTCTTTGGCTGTCCTGCTGCAGCCACCTCTGTATCCACATCTGCCTATATCCACACGAAACAACCATGTTAAAACAGAGAAACCGCGGCATTCATACACCAAACAAAACGAGTAGATAGAAAGCATGAAAGATAGATTTTAGGTCTTACCATGGTTGCTCCTTGGTGTATGGAAGAGAAGACACTAGCCGAGGGAGGGAGGTGCTGGATCCGTGGCCGCTGGGGCTTTCAAGATAAAAGGAGAGAGGGGTTTCAAAGGAGGAGCGCGTGTTGTGTTGTGAAGCCCTAGTTGGTATTTTAATGTCTTATTAGGCCACGATTTGGGCTTTATCTGTTTAGTGTTTGACCCAAGCATCAAGAAGGTTGGTAATAGAGGCCTGTTAATTCTACAGCCTGCAATGTTCTGCTTCTTGGAGGGTTGATTGACCTTGTTAATCTCTGATTTCTTGATTTTTTTGATTTGCTAATATGACCTTTGTGCTTCGCGATTCTGTGTAACACAGAACTCATTGTTAGCATGTATTAGAAAATATAGTAGATTATATTTTAAAATGTTTTTTAAAAAAAAATATATTAAAATTATAAATTTTTATTTTTAAAAAATTATTTTTAACATTAACCTATCAAAATGATTTAAAAAGATAAAAAAATTAATTTTAAGTAAAAACATTTAAATTTTAGAGGAATGCAGTTTGAACTGCACTTCTAAATAGGCTCGGGTGTTTGAAAGTGTAATTATAGTTGTTTTTTAAAACATTTTTTACTTATGAATATATCAAAATAATTTTTTTATTTTTAAAAAATTATTTTTAATATCAGTACATTAAAATAATATTAAAATAATAAAAAATATTAATTTAAAATAAAAAATAAAAACTTAATTTAAAAAAAAATACTTTTAAAACACAAAAATAAATAAAATATTTCTCACTTAGTTCAAAATAATTTTTTTCCACGGCGTTTTAATAATTTAGTTCTTTGTTTGACATTTGTTTCACTGAAATAAGCGGAAATGCTGACTACAACAGCATGCCAGATGATGGTATGAAAGGGGAAGCTTTGATCATTCTTCAAGTTACGAATGTTATGTTTATTCTGTTTGTCACCATGCCCCTCAGTTACTTCATTACTTTCTTGCGCATGGTTGCAGGGAAAGCTGCAACTACATGTCGTCATGTGGCATTGCATTCACAAGTTAATGAGGGTAAGTGGCAGGTTTTTCAAGGACTGATATATCAAAGCTCACCGCTTATGAACGAGAGAGGTTGGTCAAAATGTATTTTTTTATTTTTTATTTAGTCCTGAAGTTAACGACCATGTAAGCCTTCATGGTCATCATATGAGCAATCAAGGATTCGAACCTGAGACCACAGAGGGAGCAAACCCCTTGATCCCAAGTCTTTACCACTTGGTCACCACTTAGATAATTTATTTTTTTATATTTTTATATTATTGTGTTGTGCTTGAATTAAAATGATTTAAAATTTAAAAAAAAATAAAAAATAATTATTACTATACTCTCATATATTATTGTGTTGTGCTTGAATTAAAATAATTTAAAATTTAAAAAATAATTATTACTATACTCTCGAACAGTAAAAAAAATTCAGAATGCCCTTCACCAACCCCTACTTGAGTTTGATTGCCTACTGCATACAGACTAATGCATTAATTATTTCTTCAAGTACACGATTGCATGGAGTTGTTTTAATTTGAACATAATTTTTATTTTACCATTTTATTGTAAATGGAAAAATGTATGAGATTAACACATTTTTCCAATTTTCTGGGTTGAAAAAATGTCTATAAACTTTAACAAATGGAAATGTTTAAAACTTTAAACTGCTGGGGAATAAAAAAAAAATGAAGTGGTTTTTTATGGGTTGGGCTCCTCGGCTTGATAGTCTAGACCCATTAACTCCCGGCACTTCTTGTTTTTTTTTATATATATATATACATTTAAAATAAATTTTATTTTAAAAAAATAATTATAATAATATTTAAAAAAAATAATACCTTTTCTTTTCATAACAAGTTTTTTTTATAGACTACATGAGAAGAAATAACCCTTTTTTTATGCAACTTATTATTATTTTGTAGTCTTATTTTCAATACAAGGTATTCAACTATAATTTTTTTATTTTTATATTTAAGATAATTTTTGAATTGTTTTTAAGATGGTGATAATTTTTTAATAATTATATCCACCAATAAAGTTTCACTTTTAATCATATTTTTAACATGAGCATTAAGTAAGATGACCTTGGTTCGTTGCGATCCTTTGATATACCATAATAAAATCTAGGAATTTATTGATTATAATTTTATTAGTAACAACAACTTCAACTTTTTATCTCAAGCTTTCAAAGTATTTTTGCATCATAATTTAACTATAAATATCATATTATGTGTTATTTAATATATTCAAGATATAATTCCTGAACATAAAATTATTTTAATTTTATTTATTTATATTTATAAAAATAATATAATCGAATCTATTGTGTTAACAACTTTGGTGCCCTTTTCAACAAGAAATATGTCATTCAAGGTGGTAATTTAAACTAATATTTTATGTTGTTACCTTTTTTATAGAGATAAAGTCATTATTTTCATATGTGTTTAGCTACCAAGTGATTTATTTTGGTGTTCATGAGTTTCATTTGAAAAAGGTAACTTGATGATGATTTTTTAAAATCTCAATAGCATATAAAAAAATAGATTGAAGTCAAGGAAGAAGGCCTAACTCGGTTTTATTTTGTATTTTTAGAACTACTCTCGAGGTTTCTCGGGTTGATAAATTAATTTACAGGTGTTATGGGAGTGTCCATGAGATTTTTTTAGGTTAAAATGAGTAACAAAGCTAGAGGAATATGCCTGTCCTGATTTCCCAACAATCAATGTGGTATCCGAAATACAGGTAGATAGACGAGATGTCTTCCGCTCTAGTGAGCAACGTGTTGTCTAATTATTTTTTATAAAATAATAACAACGAATGACTTGTTATCTATTTTTAAAAAAATGCAAGGCCTATGTGTGCATGTCTGGATTTTTTTTTTCCAATGGCCTGGACGCACTAGGGCGCTAGGTCTACCTAGCTTGACTTTTTTGTTGGATTTAAAATAAAAATATTTTTTTTTTGTTTAGATGCATGATAAATTTAATAAGCAAAATATTAGATCCGATTCAATCCTTAACACGGATCAAAGTTTGGAAGAGTTAAGACACAACATCAAGACTTCTTCTTCTTTTTTTTGTTTAATGGGTTTTTAAGTAAGGAATGAGTCTATCTTGATTTTTTAGCCACTACTATAATGACCGAGATCCAAGTAAGTAGACGACATGTCATGTACTAGATTAACGTGGGTGTCCGGACCAGCTTGCGCGCACCATGACTAATCCCACGAGCCCTGAAGTTAACGACCATATAAGCCTTCAGTGGCCATCATATGAGCAACCAAGGATTCGAACCTGAGACCATAGAAAGAGCAAACTCCTTGATCTCAAGTCCTTACCACTTGGTCACCACCTAGATGGTTTATTTTTTTATATTTTTATATTATTGTGTTGTGCTTGAATTAAAATGATTTAAAATTTAAAAAAAAATAAAAAATAATTATTACTATACTCTCAAACAGTAAAAAAAATTCAGAATGCCCTTCACCAACCCCTACTTGAGTTTGATTGCCTACTGCAGTGTTGTGCTTGAATTAATTATTTCTTCAAGTACACGATTGCATGGAGTTGTTTTAATTTGAACATAATTTTTATTTTACCATTTTATTGTAAATGGAAAAATGTATGAGATTAACACATTTTTCCAATTTTCTGGGTTGAAAAAATGTCTATAAACTTTAACAAATGGAAATGTTTAAAACTTTAAACTGCTGGGGAATAAAAAAAAAATGAAGTGGTTTTTTATGGGTTGGGCTCCTCGGCTTGATAGTCTAGACCCATTAACTCCCGGCACTTCTTGTTTTTTTTTATATATATATATACATTTAAAATAAATTTTATTTTAAAAAAATAATTATAATAATATTTAAAAAAAATAATACCTTTTCTTTTCATAACAAGTTTTTTTTATAGACTGCATGAGAAGAAATAACCCTTTTTTTATGCAACTTATTATTATTTTGTAGTCTTATTTTCAATACAAGGTATTCAACTATAATTTTTTTATTTTTATATTTAAGATAATTTTTGAATTGTTTTTAAGATGGTGATAATTTTTTAATAATTATATCCACCAATAAAGTTTCACTTTTAATCATATTTTTAACATGAGCATTAAGTAAGATGACCTTGGTTCGTTGCGATCCTTTGATATACCATAATAAAATCTAGGAATTTATTGATTATAATTTTATTAGTAACAACAACTTCAACTTTTTATCTCAAGCTTTCAAAGTATTTTTGCATCATAATTTAACTATAAATATCATATTATGTGTTATTTAATATATTCAAGATATAGTTCCTGAACATAAAATTATTTTAATTTTATTTATTCATATTTATAAAAATAATATAATCGAATCTATTGTGTTAACAACTTTGGTGCCCTTTTCAACAAGAAATATGTCATTCAAGGTGGTAATTTAAACTAATATTTTATGTTGTTACCTTTTTTATAGAGATAAAGTCATTATTTTCATATGTGTTTAGCTATCAAGTGATTTATTTTGATGTTCATGAGTTTCATTTGAAAAAGGTAACTTGATGATGATTTTTTAAAATCTCAATAGCATATAAAAAAATAGATTGAAGTCAAGGAAGAAGGCCTAACTCGGTTTTATTTTGTATTTTTAGAACTACTCTCGAGGTTTCTCGGGTTGATAAATTAATTTACAGGTGTTATGGGAGTGTCCATGAGATTTTTTTAGGTTAAAATGAGTAACAAAGCTAGAGGAATATGCCTGTCCTGATTTCCCAACAATCAATGTGGTATCCGAAATACAGGTAGATAGACGAGATGTCTTCCGCTCTAGTGAGCAACGTGTTGTCTAATTATTTTTTATAAAATAATAACAACGAATGACTTGTTATCTATTTTTAAAAAAATGCAAGGCCTATGTGTGCATGTCTGGATTTTTTTTTTCCAATGGCCTGGACGCACTAGGGCGCTAGGTCTACCTAGCTTGACTTTTTTGTTGGATTTAAAATAAAAATATTTTTTTTTTGTTTAGATGCATGATAAATTTAATAAGCAAAATATTAGATCCGATTCAATCCTTAACACGGATCAAAGTTTGGAAGAGTTAAGACACAACATCAAAACTTCTTCTTCTTTTTTGTTTAATGGGTTTTTAAGTAAGGAATGAGTCTATCTTGATTTTTTAGCCACTACTATAATGACCGAGATCCAAGTAAGTAGACGACATGTCGTGTACTTCAACAAGCAAAGCAACGTATTACCTGATTATGTTTTTTCTAAAATAATAATGGCAAATAACTTGTCGTCTATTCTTTATATATATAGCCTAGGTATCCACACTTGACCTCTTTATTTTTAATGGCCCGAATGCATTGGGCCACCAAATATGTCTATCTTGACTCTTTTCTATAATTTTTTTTTCTCTTTATTTTTAATGGCCCGAATGCATTGCGCCACCAAATATGTCTATCCCTCTTTTCTATAATTTTTTTAAAAAAATCAAAATATATATTATTTATTTTGATGTATAATAAATCTAAGAAAACAACTATTGGACCCGACTCAATCTTTGACACAAATCAAAGTTTGAACGAGGGAAAACATAACTTCCAAACCATTTTTTTTGTTTAATGGGTTTTTAAGTTGGAAATGGATCTCTCTTGATTTTTTGACCACTATAATAATCTAAGATATGAATAGAAAAGTAATATGTTGTCTAATTATTATTTTTAAAAAAATAGGGATGAATGAAAAACCATCCACCCTTTAGAAAGAAAAAGGAAAATATAAAAGGCCCATATAAACATATAAACGTGTTGGAGCTTTTTTAGCAATTTTTTATAATCTTTGTTGTTATGCATAGTAATTTTTTTTTAATTATTTAATTTAATTGAATTTTTGATGTAAATTAAAGTTTTGATGAGTCAAAACACAATATTTAGATTACTTTTTTTCATTTTCTTTTGTTCATTTAGTGCATTTCCCCCTCATTATTTTTTTTTAAATTCATTTTAATTCTTTGCCATCTTTAATTTTTTATTTAACTTAAAAAATACATTTAGCTTAAAAAATATGTCTAATTGAGATCATGTTCATGATCTAAATTGTAAATTTTATTTTTTTAATTTATGTTGACAAGAGTTAATACAATATGATATATTTTTAATTTTTATTTTTAATTTTTTAATTTTGTTTGTTTTAATTAAGAACCATTCATTTAAGACCCAACCAAAAAGAATAAAAATAAATTATGCAATCGAATTAACTTATTGTGATAATGGACATTATTCATATTCCGTTATTGGGAATAGTTTGACCGAATAGTCTACAGTGTCTCCAACAACGCTACTAAGAATTTCTTTCTTTAAATATATAGACTGTGGTGTTGAGAATAACACGACAAGGACTTCCCAGTCAACTTATCTCTTTCTTTTTCATGTACTTTTAGTGTAATTATTTTATTTATTTGGATTTTTTTTAATCTCTTGAATGTGCCCGCTCTACTTTTTTTTTGTTCGAGGGTAGTAAAGACAAGACAATGAAAATTTAAAATTGACTAGAAAAATAATTTAAATAACTAAATCAATATTTTTCAGGTTTAATTTAAGAGTATTTTTCAGACATTAATTCACTATAACAAGCTGACCATTTTACAGAATCCAGCATGCAAGATTATTTGACAAAATTTTAACCCAATTCAATTATTAAATATAAAATTACTATTTTTTTTTTGAAATTACGTGTCTAAGTTTTTTTTAAAGGTTCTGTGTCATCCATCTTGTTGATAGATGTATCCGCAACAAGTTTTAAATTCCTAGTTCATATTTTTCATCTCAGCAGTTAGAGAGAGACCCTCTGAAGCTCTTTGTCAAAATAAATTCGAATATTTTGTCACGAGGAGTTTTTTTTTTTAAATTACACGTGTTTTGCTGTTATCTATATCACAACTAGTTTATTATTTTTTATTTTTCCCTGAAAAACGCAATTTCAAAATTACGATTATCTCCTATAGCGTCACCCATTATGCTATTATACCTGGTTTTTCCATTTTTTTTGTTGGGAAGTGATATTTTGAAAAATTACCCCCACATATCATTATTTACCGTGCGCCGATGACTACCGATCCAACGGCTCACCTTCCATACAAACCCCTTCAAATAGCACAATCCTCGTCAAACCTCTTTCCAGCAATCACAGCCCACCTCATCGAATTCTCTTTCCACTTTAAAATTGCGTCACTCACCGTAGATAACATCCAATCCAGCGGTCTTAATTAAATCACCCAACACCCGCGCAGAGCGATCCGCGTCGAACCGATTCCCACCAATCACAGCTCCCCTTTCTCATTCCCCCTCTTCTATATATACCCACCTCTCGGTTTTTCCACCAAAAAGCACCATTTCGGCACAACTAGATCTTAGTCTCTTGATTTATTAATTCTCTGTAATCAATCATGCCCTCCGCTGCCGTTAAAGCTCCGTCAAAGGCCAAAGCCAATCCTTCAAAATCGAAGAAACCTCCACCACCAGCAGCATCTGCTGCTGGTGCCAAGAAGCCTAGAGGCTATCCTACTTATCACGAGGTAATCGATTAATCAATCATAAAACAACAACTTATTCGCTAATCACAGTACAATTGTGAAGTGCTGATGATGTATTTGTGTTCTTGGTGTTTGCAGATGGTCAAGGAGGCTCTTGTGGCTTTGAAGGAGAGAACTGGATCGAGCCAGATCGCGATTGCTAAGTTCATCGAGGAGAAGCAGAAGTCTAGCCTCCCTGCAAATTTCAAGAAACTGCTGCTTGTTCAATTGAAGAAACTTGTTGCTAATGGCAAGCTTGTTAAGGTCAAGAACTCCTTCAAGCTCCCTCCTAAATCTTCCGCTACTGGTACAGCTGCTATGAAGAAAGCCGCTGCTACCAAGCCCAAGCCCAAGGCTGAATCTAAGCCGAAGAATGCACCAGTGAAACGCAAGGTGGTGGCGAAGCCGGGCCCGAAGAAGGCGGCGAAGACCGAGGCTGTTAAGTCACCAGCGAAGAAGGCTGTTGTTGCGGTTAAGAAGAAGACTCCAGTGAAGAAGGTTGTTAAAAAGCCAAAGAGTATTAAGTCACCGGCGAAGAAGGCCGTTAAGAAAGCGGCGAAGTGAAAATAGTTGTTTTGTTTGGATGGGATGGCAGGATTTGTAAATTTAGGGTTTAGTAAGGGTTTGTTTGGGTATAGAATAGTCAGGTTTTCAGGAGAAACAATTTCGATGCAATTCAATTCCTGTTTGAATGAAATTTGCTTTAATCTTCCCGTTGTTCTACGAAATCAGTTGATTAATTAAAGGTATCTCGGTTTGAATGAAATTTGCTTTAATCACGCAGTTGTAATAAAAAGTAACCGCACTCTTATGATTTTTTCTTAGAAATATATTAAAATATTATTTTTTATTATTTAAGATTTATCTTTTATATTAAAACATATAAAATTCAAAACCATGAAAAAAAAAACACAATTAATTACTTCAAAAAATTTAAGATTTTTTACAAGCTGGACATCCTAAGAAGTTTACATCTACAATGTGATTCATCTAAAACAAACCCTAGCTAGCAAACAGAGTATATATTTCGAATCCCTTAACCTCCACCGTGAGAAACAGCAATGTTGAGGAAAAAGAAGAGATATATATAGAAGGGATGCTGCCACCACCCTGTGATTGTCTGCAAAGGGAACACAGCTCACTTCAGCCCCAGCTCTCACCTTCTGCATTTGTTGCAAGCAATACCTGAACTTGTATCTGTCTATACTCCCAACATTTTTATCTCCTTAGCTTTCAATCTCAAATCTTCTTCAGAAGGTATGTTGCCACCACCCTTCAATGTTGCCCGCCACCATGCCATTAGCTCATCCTGCAAAATGCACCAGACGGGTTGAGCCACCGCTTACAAAAGTAGAAAGATGCAAACCAACGTGGGAGTAGCATTGCTTTCTTTGGTATGATTTACACAACTCATGGGGGTAGGAATGTGAGCTCAATCGAAAACATGAAATCGGAATCTGAAGGTCCATACTGAAATAGCCATTATATTAATGATAGTATTACTTCTACTTACAAACAACAGGTTTTCTGTATTTGAAGGGCTCGTAAATGATCTGAACTACGTTGGGTGAGAATGCACTGCAATAACATCAAAGACTCAAACTGTCTTCACGAGGAGGAGATTCCATCAAGCAATTGCAGATTCAATCGCATAAATCATCAATGAAGGAGACCACTTCATTGCTACATGATCTAAATTTATAGATCAAAGGTGGAATTGAAATCGCTAGATTACATTACACACAAATTCGTTTCTCGGGTCAGACTTTTACCTCAGTGAAATCGTGGTTGGAGATGCATTGACTCTCAACCAAATATTTGACCCCACCTACATTGACAGCAATAGAATTTTTGGACTTCTGTGTTGAACTCTTACTCTCAACCCCTGTATGATCAGAAGAAATAAAGAAGGAAAGGAGGGTGAGTTGACACCAGAAAAAGGAAGCTAATTAATGACAAATATGAAACTCAACTACCAACCACAGACTGGTGAAAGGGCAAAACAATTTTGGCTTACCAGTTATGCAGGCTACATAATATCCAGTGCCCCCAAGTCCCTGTTCCCACTTCCCAAGTCGAAAGCGCAGAAAAAAGCCATCAAGCCGTGAGGGTGCTGTGTGAGAATCCATCAATCTGGTGCCCGTGCAAGCAACACAGAAAACATCAACAAACAGATTTAAAGCAAACAATTCCCACTAAAATAAAAGAGCAAGGCTTTGATGAATATTGAAGATAAAAACATCATACTAAGCCCAGTTTATTTCTTGAAAGTCAGTATTGAGTTTTCTGTCATATTAGCACTGATAACTCGTACTTTTAAGGGAAACAGCCATAAATGCGAAGCGGGACTATATTTACAATCATCTCGCAACTGAGTTTTCCAGAATGATTATCAATTGCCTTCAATTGCAATGTAGTATAAGTAAACGTGCACAAGGATAACTAAGGTTTGGTACGAGAACAAAAAGTCTACACAAGTTGTTATCATAAAGAGGCACAAACATATTTGTGATCACACAATCACTCCACTTTATTCAACCAACATTTTACATGGAGGGATACCGACAGAAGAGGAATAAAAGGCTACTAAATTTACTTCCCGGTGATGTTGACCATGCAGTATATCAAGTGGAGCTGTAGCATAGGCAGAAGGCTGTCTGAGCAATTCAAGAAATGAAGGACAGTACTGCAGTGGAACTATCATAATTTAAGCAGGCCGGTACTCTCATTCTATGTCTAGTAACTCTTCTTTTGCTCCTGACACTCTCTTCCTCAGCCATAATCATTTCTCCTTTTTTCTTCCCCGTGCTTCACCAACGCAATATCTAATACATTAACTTCTCGGTTTCAACTTAATTGCATAAGTTCTAAATTATGTTACCTCATAAAACTTCTATCTATAGGATTCTTATAGTCACTATCCTGAGCTCCTCGCTAATTGTTCCTTGGAATTAATTTTCCAAGAAGGTCACTCAAATTTTGTTCAAGTTCAAAAATTGCGGAACTTAATGAGAAGAAGAAAAAGGTCATTCTTCAATGGTCCTGACCAACACTACAAACAGATTACAGTTTGATCAGCAGCAGAAGGTAAAACAATTATCTAAATGCCATCATCTTGCTACAGGGTCAGACTATCTACCATAAAACTATGTTGCAGAAACAAGCTTTAAAGATACGCAAGTGAAAAATTGAGAAAAACAGATTTGGAGGTGGGAGTGCAAATGCTAAAATCATCCGCCAAAGTAATATGACGAGAAAGTAGATAGAATTAACATGGACAGACCAATAAGAGAGATACCAAGCCATTGCATTTCAAAATTAGCAACTCGCGAATTTTGTTGTTTAAATCTGTCAAACTCAGTTCATCTTTAGGCAAGTGGGGCTTTATTGTCCTTACAAGCAGTGACTAGATTTTCTGCATAAATTGACAGGCATACAAACTTACGCCTCAGACTTAGTTTTTCTTATTGATAAAATAAGTCGGATGCTGGAAACCAGAGAGGCATGTCTTCCCAGCTCCAATAGTAAACAAGATGCTGTGATGAACGAACACTGCCTATTACAGGTCTAAACAAGGCATACTTTCAAAGTGAACTAAAAAAAGCTCAATCAATGGTTAAAAACAACCTTCAAGTTATGTCTCAAACAATCGGAGGAGGGATTCAGATACCAAGTGCTAAAATGTCTCTAGTTATTGCATGTAGGAAAGATCTTGCAAAAATAACAGTGAAAATGACAGGTTAGCTGGTATGATCTACTTACTTGAGAATAACTGCTCGAGATAAACGAAGCATTTTCACTGCATCAAAAATTCCCTTGGGTCTGTCTGATATCTGGCTATCGACAAAATTACTCAAAGGCATGGCCTGGTTTTCTTTCAACTTCTTTTTCCCAGAGCTCGAAACAGTGTCTTTTTCAAACAGTTTCATATTCAAATTCATTTTCCCAGAGGAAAAAGCTTCACTCAATTTCTCATTGCGAACTGTAGGCGCATCAGCAGTTGGTAATTGACCATACTTGCCGTCTGACTGCTTTGCATCGTCTTCATTTCTTGGATTAAGCAGAGTTTCACCGGGGCTGCATTCATGGACAAAAGAAGCGCCATATTCTGCTTGATGTCTTGTGCTTGAAGAGGCATTAGGACATGCAAAAGCCCAATGATTTGACTGGAAACATCTTATGCACACACAAGGCAATTCTTTTGATCCGTAATACAAATTAACATTTCTCAGAAGACCTTCAAGCTCACTATCTGGTATCTCTGGACAATCTCGCACATGGTGACCTCTTATGCCACAAAAGAAACATGCCAAGTTTCCATGAACAGAACCATCCATATCATATGACGGCATAATGTGCTTGAGGGCATCCAATCTCCTTGCAAAGACAGAAGCCATGGCCTCTGAATTTCGGAACCTTGAAAAAGGCAAGATAGGATTCAGTTTACACATGGACTTCTCATCATCTTGTCCATTTACCTTATTTATGTCAAATGAAACTTCAGTACTTGTAGCACAATTCTGCATGTATATTGGGTCCTCATTGTAGTGCTCCTCCTCCCTAGCAATCACAATTTTATGATGGAAAGAAGTATGATGGTTCTGCCATTGAGCATTCAGCCTCATGCTATCAGTGGAACTGTCAAGAGCTTCGCCAGCACTTCTGTTGCAAAGATCTGTGTTTGACAAGGGACCGGAATTTTTTGGAGTAAACCGAGTGATCCACAAGCTTGTGAGTGGGTCACTTATGTACCTAGAATTGTTAGCAGGCTTGCCTTCAGACGGCAGTTCAGTATCTATGTTCTCGGCACCGTTACTCTCTCGTTTACACACAGAGGAATTGGAGCTTGTCCCATTTTTCTCCTTATCAGTTGCCAAGCATAAATTTCTGTTCTCTGCATAGTTGTTCCTGTTGATCACCTGAGCAGAAGCAGTACTGGCGGAAAAAAGTTGGGTCAGGGCTGCTGGAGCTGCACCATTGCCAGATGTCGACTCATTTAACTTGTCATTTGATTGAAGAAACCGTTTGTACACATTGCCATTCACCATATGACAGGATAATGGAGTAGCATTATTGTCACAGATCTTGTTGTCCAGCTCAAGTTCTTTAGATTCTTTGGCTTGATTATTGCCATGCAAAGAGACAATTTCTTGAGTCTTTGTTTTTGGACAATACAATGACTGAAAAATAGAATGAAATCCCGTAGTTTTGCACCCTTTATCCTGGTTTCTATTACATGAAACGAGATTCTTGTCAGGATTCTCATGTCCATGATTACGATTAGCAAGGGTAAGAGCAAGGGAAGGTGCCTTATCTTCTTTTGATTTTCCGAACCCCTTCATCATGTTTGAGATCCAATTCACGAATGAACTATCTGGTTTAACAAATGAAGAGGAGCCAGGACTTTCATGAATTTTTATTTTGACACTTTTGCTCCCAGCACACAACTGTGGATCAAAGTTCCATCGCTTTTTGCCAGATGAAAATATCCCAGCACTGTTGCAACTTTCAACACTTTCATGACTGTCATCCTCCATATCCAGCACTCTTTCATCTAGATCTCCATAAGACGAAGCTTTATCCCTGCCTGTCATCTGATAACCTTGGGTTCTGCTGTTTGTGGGAAACTTGGCCTTGCCTTTCATCTGATACCTTTGGGTTCTGCTGTTTGTGGGAGACTGTTTAATCCCATGATTATCGTCTCTAGAAAGTATCTCATCACCCTGCTGAGAGCTATTTTGGACTTCTTGGGCAGATGCTGATCCTACAATCTTAGTTGCCACATCACACACATTTTCACCATGTGGAGTTTTTATATCATTCTCTGCAGTTGACTCCAGTTTTTCCAGAGGACAGATGTAGGGACGAGTCCCCACCTTATCTTCTCTCTCCTTTTCCATGCATGAAGCTGATTCAAAATTTTCTCTTCCTGAGGATGGTGCTTGCATTTTAATGTCATAAGATTCACATTCTTTCACTGAGCAAACTAGTGAGGCTGAAACATTTTCTGTCTGTAATGTGTGAATCCCGTCACCAGCATCTCTAATTCTGACAATAGGTTCCTCGGAAGTCGGATCATTCTTTGCCACATCCAGGTTCGGTCCAGCTGTTTAAATTGAAAAACAAAGTAATAATTGTCCTGTCAGGAGTGAGAAAATGGAAGCACGAAAAAGCAGTTCTTCACACACCAAAAAGAAGCAAAAAAAGATGATAAAATAAAAGTTTCAGTAATTCTAGACAGGTTTCATCATGTACTAGATAGGAATTTTTATAGGTCGACATTCACCAATACATAATACATTATATCTGCAAGGAATTCATAGTTACCTATTTTGATTTCATGTCTAGATTCACTTAACGGAAACATGCTTGTATCACTGGCAACAAATTTAGTGCAATTGTCTCTTCCAGCAACTTCACTGTTCACATCAGATGCACCTAGAGGTGTCCAGAAATATTCTTTACTGATAGGTTTGTCAGTACTTGATCCACTTACCATATTACTTGGGCCTGCACCCCATAACAGAGAGGGATTTTTGTAGGAGAAGCTTCCATCAGCGCATTTAAGACACACACCTTTCTGTGGAGACCAAACTAGTTCAGACAGGGCATTGGTGGCCGCAAATGTCTTGTCTACACTTGAACCTGCATTTGCACCTGCACCTGAATCATTCTTCACTCTTCTCTGAAAGCACTGATCAGTCACACGTTCTATGTTTTTATCATCTGCATTCATCTTTGTTGGATGAACTCTTCAGTGGGCAATCCTGAAATGCCAATCAGGTCCAGGTCAGACTTCTCCATGGTGCAAAACTGTCTACACAAAACAACGAAGCAAATATATGTTACTGTGGACCTTGGAGAGGCAATAATCACAAGATGAAGCATAAGATAAAATTTTCTGGAAAAGTTAGTGAAATAATATTGTTTCAAAATGAAATTGAATTAAGAAGATTCTTTAAGGGCTAAGAACTCATTAATGATAAGTAAAAAAGAATATGAGGATTAGGCGGTTGTTTTACAGAGTCAATAAAATTCACGCCATTTATGGAAAAGATGCTTCAATATATGTTCTCCCCCCTCTCTAGGGAAACAAAACTGTATACACCCAAATGAAATCCAGTTATACTCATAAACTGTCACATAAACCGCAGTACTGCTCCTATAAAATGAGAAACATCCTTACTGATATCGGCAATTTCAAATTGGTGCTAATCTGGAGTGCATGCTACCTAATAGATGGCATAGATATATGTTTGTATCTAAATCACTATGGATACAACCAGATCCCAAGAAGACTGCCTTGGTGTTTCGAAGCATTTGTCCTATCACGTACAGGATCAGAAATTATCAGTTCACTTTGTAGATTAATAAAATTATTCAACTCCCAAGTCAAACAAAATTAAATGGATTAAGTAGGATTCGAATCAGAACCAAAGCATATCTTTGTTTTGTGCAATGGCGAGCTTACTAAACAGAGGGTAATCAGCATTGGAGGCACTAGGCAGGGTAATTTCACAAGTGTTCAGTGGAGTGGCTTACTCTACCGGCAGAGATAACTCATTCTTCCTCCCGTAATCCCTCTCACCCCAAAGAGTGGCAGGTGTAATACGGTCGTTATGATCAATACAGACTAATACTTCTTCACTTACTCTTAAGAGATCCCTAATAGGATGAATCCAGCATTGCTTGGCATACAAAGAACATACACCATATGATTGAATCTCGGAAAACAAAAGGACTTTAACATTTGTTCCAAAATAATAAAAAAAGAAGAAGGAGGACTTTAACATTTGTTCCAAAATAATAATAAAAAAAAACGAAGCAATATTATAATAAAGAACTGAATGATATATATTTCATCTGCAAGATTAGATAAATGCATCAACAAAAGAGGAATTTAAAACCATACAATCATCATCTCAAAACAGAAGTCTCTAGTATTTAATGCATGAATGATAAGAATTGGGTGAGGCTTGCATGAAAAGACCATCAAAATTCAAACAAACTCTACTTACAGATAAAATAATTAATGACAGTTAAGAGAACCGAAAATGGAAAAAAGAAGAAGAAACTTTGGATTGAATCTTGGAGATCCTCATACCTGACAGTCCCTTAAATCCTTAAAACAAGTAATCTTTCTAGTCCTGATGATCCTATGAAGCACAAGTAGTGCTATGGATGCACTTTCTAAACAAGGCTAGACGGTTTGAGTACGTATGGACTTCACTTTTAGAGAGGGAGGGAGAGAGTACAGGATTTGGTCTCTCAATGACAATGCTGTAATTGGTCGTCCTGCTACAGAAGTAACATGAAGCACAGAGACTGCCTTTTTCTGGATTCTAAAGCATGAGGTTCAGGGAATGCCACGTGGTGACATTGTACATCAATAATATCCAGTTAAGCAATTGCAAAAAAATAAAATGATCGGGGAGAAGAATTTATTTTCTCTCTTTCATTTTTAAATGAATTTTATTTTTAGTTTTATCCGTGATTATTTAATTTCTGTAATTATTTTTAAATTTAATTTGAATTATTTGAATTGTTATATATTTTACTTTGAATCATTTTATTTTTCTTTAAATATTTAATTTTTATGTCTGAATTTAGTTATAATTTTTTAATTAATATTTTTGTATTGATTTTTTTCAATTCCATCTCTCAATATTTATTTAATTATTTTTTTTATTTTTAAATTTGAATTTTTTTTTCATGTTTTTCCTTTAATTATGTTAATATTGAGTTGCTTGATAATTTAAATAGACTAGGATGAGATTCTTGTTATCCATTGTTTTTTTTATCAGTTTATTTATTGATTTTTTTATATTATTTAAATTGCTATTTTAATAAAAAAAATTAGAACCTGAATTTTTTTGTGCTTCATCACTTTTTTTTTTATATATAAAAAGAATATTTAACTAGCAGCAACGAAGGGTATACAGCATATCTCATCATAATATAATTGTAGTACCTCATACCCAGAGACAACAAATTTAGAAGCCACCAAAAATAAAAAATGTTAGCTTTCTTTCTTACACTATGCAAGTTCATGGGCTCCCTTTGGCATCCAAATCCATGATTGGTAGGTATGCTTACAACATCCATTCCTCACAGTTAAAGTTTTGGAAACTTTAATTAAAAAATTCAAGCTCAAGTCCCAACCCTGCAGGTATGGATGGGAGTCTATCTTTATGTTGAGTAAAGGGAAACAAGTTATTTTTTAATATAAAATATATTATAATAATGTTTTATTGTTTTCGGTATGAATATATTTCAAAAAATGAAAACCACTGGAACGACAAACGGGTAAAAAGTTGGAAGAGATTATCAGTATCCAATTATAACCGGTCAACAAAGGAAAAAGGATCCTTCTTTCTTGACGTTTGTAATATTAATAATCTTTTTGAAAGCCGATTCAACCGACTGTCGTTGGCGATTCGCTGCAACAAAATTATAACCGTTGAACAAAAATAATTTTTATGTTTTAATAACATTTGTGTGTGTGTGTATATGTTTTAACATCATTTTTTTTTAAATTATGGTTTGACTTCACAAGAGTTTTATGTGGAGTAGAATTATCTGCATTGCATGTTAGTTAATTAAATTAAAAGAAATGAAAAGAGATGGAGAAAACAGTATAGCAATAAATATTATAGCTGTGTATTCATTTATATCATGGATTGAAACAGTAAAAATATAAATTTCGTAATTGGGCTGATTATTGGGGTACTAACATGGTTTATTAGTTATTACTATATTTAATAGGAGCAGCTTCATTTTTGAAAATTTTTAGCATATAATAAAATAATTAAATTATTATTTTTAATATCTATTTGAAAACGTGATCTAACCTAACTTTTAAAAAAAATTAAATTTTTTTATTTAAAATTAATTTTTTTTAGTTTTTTTTATCGAAGCGTTAATATTAAAAATATTTTTTTTAAAATAAAATAAATATTATTTTAAAATAAAAAATACATCAAGCTGTAATCACTGCCACATTCAGCTATGCGGTCACTTTGACAGTAGAACTCCTACAATAAGGACAACAGCTTTAAGATGCGTTTAGTATTGCGGTTGCTGTTATGGTTGTAGTTTTAAAAAAATTGTTTTATAAAAAATATTTTTAGTTGAGGTTGGTTTGAAAAAAATATATGTTTGGTTAAAACTATGGTTGAAATTGAGGTTGAACAAAAAATAGTTTAATATGTTTGGTTAAAAAAATACTTTGCAAATTAAAGTTATAAAATAATTAAAAAATACTTTTAATTTAAATATTGTAGATTTAACTACTATTATTACATCATAAAATAAATAATATTGATATCAAATATTTTTTATTATTCCATTAAACTATATGCAATGTCATCACAAATAAAATCTATCTAACAATAACTATATTTTTCATGGTTTCTTAAGCACGCAACAACAAAAATTGAATTTTTTGTTACGTCATCAAATGATTTCTTTCTAATTTTTTGAATAAAATATAATTAAAAAAATAAAAACTGAATTTTTTTCAACTGGATTGGACCCAGTAAGAACATAATTGGAATTGCGATCAAATTCCATAAATGTTACGATATCATGCTATATTCTTCTAATTTATATAGTGTTATTAAATAATATTAAATATTAGTTTTTTAACTAAAAATCAATTTAAAAAAAATTACATTTTTATTATGTATAAAATTCATTCGACAAAAACTACAGTTTTCATGATTTTTTGAGCATGTAATAAAATTAGATAAAATATTATCAGGAATAAAATTGAGATTACAGTATGAGTAAATTTAATCTACTTTAAACTATTTTTTTTTTTAAAATATTGTTCATGTTCATATGAATAGTGCAAGTAAAATCACTTAACTGTACTGATTTTTCAGAAAGAAAAATAAATTTTTCTTGGTTTTTTTTTTAAAAAAACTTATTTAAGTTTAGTGAATAATCATTTGTACAGTGGAGCCATGCTCCACTGTTATAGCTTTCTTCCTTCAGGAGAAGCTATTTTTCCAAAACCTCCGTTTCATTGTAATTTTTAGTGGGTCCTATCGATTGAAATACATTTTTTTTCCTTATCAAATAAAAATATATGAGGCTGTGAGTGAACTTGCAATCACGTTACCAAACAACACTTTACTGTATTGGCAAAGGTTAGCTAGTAATGTGAGAGGGAATACCGGTAAGGTTGTTAAAAATATATTTTTAATATGGTAAAAGAATAAAAAATAAATTATAAAATCATCATTTTTTAAATATATTAAAAAATTAAAAATTCATATTTTAAATAAAAATTCATGTATTATTCAAGACTACCAAGTCCTTTGCCTGTTCCAAAAGCAATCTTTTCTGATATTACTGTGGATTTCACTGATGTTTTGCCTTTATCTCAGGTTAAATCTGTGATTTCTGGAGTAGCAGATCATTGATGAACTGAATATACACATTATATTAATTAATCTGGCACACCCTTATTCTGCTCTTACCGTGGCTATAAATCTTTTATGGAAAACGGGTTTGAACTCCATGGATTGCCTGGCCATTATTTCTGGCAGAGATTCAATATTCTTGATAATTTTCAAATTAAAAGGATTTGGACGCAGCCAGTCTTGCTTGGTCTCTTCGGTGAAATTTCGACTCTCGGACTGGACTGGTATAGGGGAAGCCTGTAATCATTACACGTGGTTGATACACCATACAAACAATCCTTGCAAACTGAACATGATCTTGGACAATAATCACAGCTAGCACTAAACATCAATGAGCTTATACCTCAATTAACACCAGTGATCGGAGCCTTTGCTGCACTTTTCTTTTCTTTTCTTTTTTTTAAAAAGCGAACTGTTATCAGGCCTTCGTGATCATAACAAGCTGTAAATGCTGCAAGCTGATGGAGCCATTGGTTTGTTGAATGATTGAATCTGTGACCTGCTGATATGACCATCTCAAATCTCTCACATCATGATTATCTAGCATTTAGATGCTGTGGACGGATTGGACTTTCAAATATGATAACATGCCCTTCACTCGTTTAAAATCTTAGGGTTTGATTGAAAGGGAAGAATATGAGGTACCTAAAACGATAAAACACCCCACAGAATACTGTCGCTTACAAAACAAAACATGATCCCAGCTCTTGCGGCCGGTATCCTATAATTTTTTTTTTTTTATTCAGGTAGCTGATGAATGATCATCCGAACAAGATAATTGACGAGGCTGGATGCCATTGTTAATTGACGTGGGGCCTGGAATGAGTGTTTTACTATTTTTGCACCATAACAAAACAGAGGCTTTGAAACAGCCATTTCCACAATTCTAAGCAACAGTTGACAGCGAGTCACTGTGTCCTAGAGGCTTTTATCCAATCAAGTTCAACTTTGAAATCACCTGGTCCTGATCTAGCACCGGGGATCCCACCACCTGCATTGACAGATAGAGACATGCCGAGAATGCGAGATTGATTCATTTCCATACTTGCATCTATAACGTTTCCTCTCCATGTTGGCAAATATCGAGCGAGAGGTATCTGAAAAAAAAGTGCAAACCAAAAGGCTTCATATTTTTACTCTACATAAACCTTTACATGTTCACAAGCAACATACTCTTGTGCATATGTCACATTAACAGCACTCAATTCTTAATTTACTAGTAGAGAAAAACCAAGATCATAGTAGAGAAAAACCACGATCAAGCAAACAAAAAATACTCCTTCCGATGGGATTCCGTCATGCCCGCAAAATAATCTATTTGACAAAATCAGATACC